AAACTGATTCGTCTAAGTGAGTCTTTTTCATCATTAACATCTGTAAATACTCATTGTAAATTCCCATATATTCTTCATGATTTCTGTGAAATATCAGCATATATTTTAGAAACAAACATAAATAGAAATGAATACTGGGCTTGTTATAAAGGTTCCTATGAAGGGAAATTCCCACAATTAGAAATAAATATAGATAACAACTTACAAACAAAAGAAGCTGTATATGAAAAGTTATCAGAATGGCTAGGTTATGAAACAATTTATACAGATGGCTCAAAAAATGACTCTGGAGTATCAGCTGCTTACTACCACAAAAATGTTAAGTACGGCAAAGGACATAGACTGCCAGTTATTTTCAGCGTGTTTTCGGCTGAAGCCACTGCAATTCTGTTGGCTCTCAGATATGTTCAAATGGATATCATGTGCTCCAACAAAAGCAAGTTTTTAATAGTTTCCGATAGTATGTCCGTTCTCAAAGCACTTGATAATTTTAAACTACAGAATGCTAATTATATATTGTTCGAAATTAAAGAAGTTATTCAAAAATTATCTGACAACAATAAAATTGTAAAGTTTCTTTGGACTCCAGCACATGTTGGTGTGGCACAGTGTGGCAGGCAATGAAAATCACAGACTTAGTAGGTATCAGACGACCAACTTCCTAACAAAAAATTTCTTCGTAGAACGTGATTGGGAGCCAGTGATACATGACAGCTTCATTCGTTTTAAATATTAAGATCTACTATCGGCAAAGACATTTGGCTATACAGCCCTGTTTTGGGTAGGTACCTAGCCGTCTTACTATTTTCCACATTATTTTTACTTTAAATTTCTTTTTTGTTTTAATACAACAATAATAATAAAGCAGACTGATAAGTCTAGCTTATTATTATTGTTGTATTAAAACAAAAAAGGAAAAACGAACACGTAAATGAAACGCACATTTTTCCAATATTATTTATTGAATAATTTATTTTTTAACTTATTATATTTTTCACAACTTTCTTCTACATTCTCGGCAATTCATAGCTACGTTTTTTAGTGGCACAACCTTATGAAACTTTTCAAGGTAATTACAATTTTTTTTAAAGAGGGCACTGATTTTTGCATACCTTTTTATACACATAATTAAGTTTTTTCTAAAATTTCAATCGCCTTTGGCCAGAAAGAATGATGGTGTGTCTTATCTGTCACAGCTCTTTTCCTTTATGTTTTTTTTGTTTATCGATGCTCCATTGACACTATCAAATAATTGGTCAAAGAATGAAACAACTTCAGCTGTATTTCTTAATATTGTGCTGACGAGCCTGCCATCCACATAAGATGCTGCAAATTAAAATATTCATATAATAATTGTATGAAACTTGATTCAAAACTATTAACTGTTAGTAAATTTCATCTAATACTCACAGAAATTTGCAGTGTAAGACAAAGCTGCAGACAGAATGGCTCAATATTTTTACACAATTTTTTACCTGCAAAAAGAGATATCATATTTAAAATTATCTTCATTAGAGAATCATTATTGTAATTTAAGTGTAAACTATATTAACTACTTGTTACATAATTAAAAATACAGGTCATTGAATCAACACTTGCTCTGATAGAGAATATAGAAGCTGAATACAAATTATTTCTTTTACTTATACTAATTTAAGTTATACTAATATAATAACCAATGCATTACCTTCATCTTTTTAATTTTATCAGGTACAACTCATTGGTCATTTAATTTATGACGTAGCCTAGCTTCAGTGTGATGGCAGTCTGTCTCATTGACATAAATAATATCATGCCATTTTGCAAGTTAACCATCCAATATTAAATTTTTTGTAAAAAAATTGTTCCTGATACATTTTATCAAGTGTGTAGAATCATAATGTTCAAATCCACCACATATTTTAAGAATGCCAACTGAAACAAAAATTTAAGAACTTCTCAAATCATAGATAACAATATAAAAATAAGAACCTTCACTGCTTTCATTAAATCTATTAGTTTTCTTTCATATAAATATAATTCTCTGTACCAACCTGTGATTTCAATTTAAAATTTGATCTTGTGTCTTCTTTTAGATTTTCGAGTGCTGATTGGAAAGCTGAGCCTTGGTCATATATTATTGCGATGGGATTAAGGTCCAATTCAACAACTTATTCTATTAGTAACTTTAAAATATTCTTGATGTTTACAGTAGATGTAGCTCCTTGACAGAAATAGTAACATAAAGGCTGTTGCCACTTGTAAACAGCACCAACATAAATACAAGAGATCTGAAAAATCCACTTTCTTTTCTTGGTGTTCTACAAATCCATTAATGTTATCTTTAATCCTTATTACTTTTATTATACAAAAGTGCTGTTTCTAATGACATCTCATCAAATATAATGGAGCATATTTTTTTGGAGTTTCATTTGTCCACCTGAAAAAGTAAATTCAAATAGGTAGGTACATATTATTATTTTGTAGTAATACAAAAAATTATAAAAGTAGTATGAAAAACCTTATATGGAATATATTTACCTCTTACATGAAGCCTGGTCTTATGATCAATTTTCTAATCATAGTATTAGTTGAGAAAATAAAAAATTTTGCTTAAAAATCAATAACACTTTAGACTCTGCTTCGATATTGATAAAGCAATTATCTTTTCTTCAGTAGTGAATCACCTCTCATATTTATTTTTAGAGCACATGCTCACTTGCATTTCAAAAACATTTTTTGCAACTGTTTTCATTTTTTGTGTGAACTTTTCAAATGATAAATTTTTACAAAACTTAAAGGTATTTAAGTATTCTTAACTTTTTTATGAAAGTTCAACTACGTCTTTGGCTTGTTATATTCTTCATAAATTCTCTGGTATAAAGGTGACAATTGGCTTTATTTGGTAATAAGCCTTTTCCTTTTTGTTTGGGTACATTTCACAGGGTCTGTAACATCAAAAGTATTCAGTGAATTTCTCTATTAGAACTACTATTTGATTGAAATAAAGACACACTAAAGAAAGAGACAGGTCTTACCAGATAATTTAGTTTGTGTCATATTTTAATCTCCAGAACCAGCAACTAATTTAGTAAACTCAGTGGCTGCAGACACAGGAGTCTCAATTTGTTCTTTGAAAATTACACCACCTATGAAATCAATATTGATTATGTGTGTAAGATTAAAAAACAGGATATAATCTTAGATGATATTAGAAATATGTTATTTATATTATAAATTTTTTCTCTGATCAAAATCACTTCTAGCATGCCCGCTAGAGTTAAATAACTTAATGTAATTTTTCTTTATGTGTGTAAGAAAGACAGATAATTAGACTTTTTTAAAGCAAAAACTATGTTAAAATACACCAAAACTGCAGCATGAACTTTGTTATCTAAATAAAATAAATTAAAAACAAACCTCTGTTCAGTTACACTTTCTAATATGTGTGGTCAACATGACTTTTTCTGGCATAGCTGTGTTCCCAAGTGAATATAATTTCTGTAATAACAAAAAAATCTAATGAAGAATAGCGGTATTCCAAAACACAACATAAAGTGAAGATACATATCATTTTAATTACATTATCTAAAGGTAATAGCAGATTAAACCAGCCTTACCAGTATTGCTTGAAGAGGGTAGGCCGATTGAGAGCCCATCATCATTAAACAATGACGGATATGCGTCACCCAAGAGTCGTGATTTTGGAGTAATGAATCTTGGTACAACGTGTTTGCTACAAATGACACTTCTGCCTGGATTCAAATTTTCAGTATCACACACAGCACTAAGACATTGTAACCACTTGGAGAATCTTTTCTCGTTCACTAGAATCTTATAAAGAATAGCGTCCTGTTCGTACTCTAACAATACGTGTAACACAACCATAACACAACACACCAATTTCCTAGGCATCTTCTACAAAGAAAAATACTTCGAAAAAAGGAGAGTTAATATTACAAATAAAGCGAAGAGGGTAAGCACAAACGAAACTTTACTCAATCACTTGTAATTCCCTGATATGTAGGTACATACTTTAGTCTTCTTCTTCTTTTATTAATGGCATATCTGCGCATTTCACACAATTTTGCCAATGTGAAATGAATAAATTAATTCCAACAAGTAAAATTAATTAAAGATTAATTAAAACTAAGTATCTTTACTCTTTGTTGTAATGACAGTTTCTGTCAGGCGTCATGTCTCCATCTACTGACAGGGGCGAGGGGCGTGTGGAAATGTCATACATCACTGGACCCCTACGCGATTGGTTTCTTGTACGGAGTTGACGGGCCGTGATGAAAATGTTGACCATCTTGCCAGATTAACGAATTTACTGGGTGGCGATATTAAAAACATCTCTTGTCCTTGGCAAGATGTCGTACCGGAATACCGTAAAAAAATCTATGAGCAATGGACAGCAGAAAGAATACTTGTCACTACTACAAAAGGTGCATGGTATGCTGGTATCAATAAAGAAGTTGGCAGAAAACCTTGGTTCGCTATATCCAATGACTACCTCCAGAGGAAATTTTACTCCAGAGGAGATTTGGACATTGCCGATTTAAAGCTCACTTACATCGTATGCATATGATAACATCTCCAGTATGCACCGAATGTTCAACTCAAGAAAACCAGACACTTGAACACATCTTTTTTTCATGCCCAACCTACAATATCCAGCGACTCGTTTTGATCCACCACCTCCTGAAAAGATACAAAACTATCCCGCCTTCCCTTCAGGATCTCTTAGCTTGCCCAGAAAACTTTGTACCGATCTATGACTATATTAGCTCCACTCTTGGAGAAATCTGATTTGACCCTCCCGGATATGTAAAATGATAACCCTGGACAAGACAAAGAAATTTAAAACTAAAGATCTGGCTATCAGCCTTCTAAAAAAAAAATAAACAAGACAAGATGAAATAAAATGAAAACAGGAAGAGAAGATTAGGCTTTGCCTTATAAAATAATATAATCCAAGATTTGGCTGTATGGCTTAGTTCCTTCGCCTGTCCCATGGATGAATTATAATACTACTACTACTGTCATTGTCCCTCTATATTATTTTTCTTTTTGTCACTGTCAATTAGTGTTGAGATAACTGGAGCCCGTTCTTGCGATAATTACTAATGTGTTTTTCTCTTTTGTAATAATTTTCTCAGAATGGCTAGTATAGAATTAGATATATGGCGAGGAGAGTGGGGACTAGCTTCAATTGACTTGGAGTGCTTAAAAGTTTTGGTATGTTTTCCATAACCTCCATTAATGTTTGTTACCGGCTAGTCTCAATTTAAATTTTAAATTTATATTCCAGACTTACATGAAGTTCATCGGAGTTCCAGTACGAGTTCGTGAATCTAACAATCCATTTTTCACACCTAAAGGACAACTTCCTGTAATGAGAGACGGACGCAAAGTTCTCACAAATTTTGAAGAAGTAGTGGAACATTTAAAATCTTTGGTGAATATTCACTATCATGTTATTTATTAATTATTTTCATATAAAAATGACATGAATAATTCATTATATAATCAATATTTTACAGCACTACAGTACTGATGTCCATTTAAATACAATGCGAACAGCAGAGGCCAGTGCATTTACACAATACTTGCAGGATAAGTTGTACCCTGCTTATCAATTTGCTTGGTGGGTAGATGAAAAGAATTATAGTGAACTCACAAGGCCTATTTATGCTAAAGCATTGAGGATTCCATTCAACTTTTATTACCCATCAAAATACCAAAAAGCTGCCAAAGACATGATAGATGCATTATATGGAGAGCATACAGACCTCAGAGAAATTGAAAAGACTGTAAGTATGTAGTTGTCTATAACAACAAAAGTAAAGTTTTCATTACACCTGAATAGTTATATCATTATCAATGTTACATTTGATTTTAATTATACTGTATTATAACATGTATTATAAATTAGCTTTATGATAAAATATCTCTGGAACTTCAATAGTTGTTTGAGGTGTTGCTCAGACTCATTTCATTTGTGATTTTAATGAAAACCAATTGACATCAGTCCCCTTTCTTTCAATAATGGAATCACAACTAATCAGCATTGCAATTATGCTATTCTGTACTCTTGATTGATTCACTAGCATACTCTACCATTAGTGTACCCTATTAAGAGTTAGAAACGGCACAATTGGAATGTTGATTGGTCACTATTGTGTTTGAGAGTCAGGGGACTGGTTTGTGTGATGAGTTATAGTCCATTCTGTGATTTTTTTATTAGAACCTTGTGCTCCTGTAGTGGGACGTTTAATATGCTGCTGATAATGATGATTAATATGTAAAATATAAATGAATTATTGTCCAATAAGAAATTTGATCTTTCAGATATACTCAGAAGCAGAAAAGTGCCTCAAGACCCTTTCAGATCGACTTGGGGAGAGTGAATACTTTTTTGGTAACAGACCATCATCTTTTGATGCAACTGTGTTTGCATATCTTGCCCCTCTGGTGAAGGCACCTTTTCCTAATGCAACACTGTCAAACTACCTCAAAGGCATTGCTAATCTAAGTCGATTTGTTGCTAGGATTAATCAGAAAAACTTTAGGCATGTTACAGATGGTAAGTTTAGTTATTATTCTTATAACCAATGATACTATTATAAAAATAAAGGAAGACATTGGAAGTATTTCAAATTATATAAGTATTTTAAGAGTCTGTTTCAGTTGAAAGCAAATAGTGCTGTGTTAAAATTTATTTCCTTTCAATTTAACTTTAAGTAATTTCTTCATACAGACTGATCAGTTTCAGTCTAAAAATCTATGTTATTTGCTCATATTTTGCAGATTTAAATATTGTTTTTTCTTATCTCATTTGCTAGAGTACAATAGACAGAATGCAAAAAAGCATTCAACGGGCACACAATCAGAGAGAGAAGCGGCAAATTTTCCTAATCAAACCAGAAACAAAATACTTGCTGCTATATTTGCAGCATTGGCTATGACTGGTTACGCCATTGCCAATGGGATGTTTCAAGTAAGTTTTGAGAAATTACATTAACATATTACCTACAATATTTAAGAAAGTTTATATAATAGTTTGGCTATTTTTTTTAAATATATTGGTTTGCAATAGGGTAGTTTCTGTAGTCACGAAATTGCACAAAAACTAAAATTTAAATTGTAAATATGTATGTAATAAATAATAGAGATTCTGATCATGAATCTTAAAATAGCATGATAACATAATATCTCAAAATTAAAAGTTGTGATTTTTTATCTGTGTGTCACAAGACTTCAAACACGACCCTCCTTTGTGCGACGTCACTGTGGCGACAAACTGTCAATATGCTTAAAAATTATAAATCAAATTCCTTGATGGCACTGTTCTTAGTTTATTTATATCTTTTATGGCATTGCTCTTGTTTTATTGACGTCATTTAATCTTCTACTCTATGTATCTGTTTTGTATATGTTCACAATGACGTCATGAATGTAACGGACAGTGTTCTCGCGGGTATAAAAAAGTTTAAATTTGATTTAATTTAAAGGCAAGAAAACATAATATTTACATATTAACGAAATATTTGTTATAAGGCTTTTTTAAATTAAAATAAACTGTTACAATTATTATTTCAAACAGAGTAGAATACCCTATTATATGTAATTTATAAAATTTTGAGATGTGCTAAATGTAAATAGTAGTTTCACCGAAAACCGAATAGTACACGGTTAAACTTTTACCGAATCGAATTTTCGGCCGAATTATTCGGTTTGCCATTTCATAATTTTTATTTGGCCAGAGTGTTACTAAGTGCTGCTTGTAACTTTGTGAACAACGATTACGGACGCATAACCTATATGAAGAATAAAATTTTAAATAATACCTATCTCTAAAGTAACTTATTTAAGTAACTGCTGTTGAAATTTGGCGAAGCTTAACTGTAGGTTATTAGTTAAATGAATGGCGCCCGACTTCAATAGCAGTTTCTTGAATAAGTCGCTTTTGATATATGTATCATTTATCCCAGTTTATAAATATTGAAGTTGGTTATATTTTCGTAAAAAAATTATATCATGGTTTTTAGTGATATTGGTCCTGAAACATGAAATTGGTGTTTGGTATGGGAGGAACAAAAAGTCGAATATTTTTTTTAAATATAATATATTTATTTAATTAAACTATAAACCATTGCACTTTTGCCATCTCATAGGTAGTTCATTGATGGTAATAAAAAAAATGGTAACCTGTAGGAGCAAGGTTCGGAGAGTATGGTGGATGTCTTAGAAATTCCAATTGAAGCTCTTCTAATTTGGTAGCTGTCTGTTGTGCAGTGTGTGGTCTAGCGTTGTCGTGAAGTAGCAGTGGCGAAGAGCAATTGACTAGCCTCGATTTTTTCTCTTTTTCTCGGGCACTATTTAACTGGCATGCCAGGATCCAACCATTGCAATGAGCGCTTCCGATTATCGTAGAGAATCCACTTTTCATAATGATTCGATTTTAAAAACCTTTATTATTGTGCCGGTTAAATAATGTAACGCAGCAGTCGAAGCGCGTTTGCCGGTTTGCTTCACTCAATTCGTGAGGTACCCACCTTTCAAGCTTTTTAATCTTTCCAATTTGCTTCAAGTGGATTAAAACAGTTTTATTACTAACACCGCAGCCTGCAGCTAACTAGCACGTGGTTTGAGTTGGATCCGCTTCCACAATAGCCTTCTATTTTTCATCATTAACTTGGGTCTCCGGCGTCCACGGGGCTTGTTCTGCAGGTCGAAATTTCCAGAACGAAAACGTTGGAACCAAGAATGCACTGGGTTTTCTTATGCGACACAACCGCCATATACATCATTAACTCTTCGGGCTGTTTCCGCAGCACTGGTGCCACGGTGGAACTCGTACTCGTAAATAACACAATATTTTAAGTTTTCCATTTTTTATACTGGGTGACGTATATAGGATAAACAGAAGAAAAAAACAAATGAATGCCGCCTAACGAAACACAAATACATGCTGTATAAATTAGAATTTGGAATCCCAATCAAGGAGGTGAAATTGGTGATTAAAGTGGCCAGTACGACAAAACGCCAATTTTATATGTAAGGACCTAATATTAAATATCTCTATAAAATATGTTAACAAAGTGAAAGTCTCAGGAAATGAGATTTTGTTTATTACTCATATTATAAGGAGGAAAGATTTGATTGCTTGTTTGTTTGTATTGAAAAGGCTTCGAAACTATTGACCCGTTTATAAAACTCACTTACGGGAGAGTTTTATAATCGGTTCAATAGTTTCGAAGGAGGAGGTTATATGTTCTATGGCGATGTATTTTTTATTATATGTATATGTTACCGACTTTACCTCATTTCTGAACCATAATTTACATTTAATTTATTATTAATATTAGAATATATATATTTTTTCTTATCTTTCATTTTATTTCTGATTTCTCTTATATTTGTATAGCAAGCAACTGTAATTAATAAAATAAATATTTATGATTTGCTTTCTTTACGAGTATTTTATTTAACACATTCTTCATAGGATTTCTTTGACTTATTTTGTAACATAAATTTTCCATAAGAAGTTTTGTCTTTTAATTTTATACCATGTCGTGTAATTAAGAAAATAAAAATACTCGCACCGAATATATTCGGCACCAAAACTGACTAATTCGGCCGAATACGGCGAATACTCATTTCGAAACTTAAATAGTCGGCACATCTCTAGTAAAAACAGCTTATCACTAAAGGGTTTTATTTTTTGCATGAATGTTGCATGTATTAGTGCAGTGTGGATGTAGCATGTAATCTAGTTGTTTTTTCTTGTTTGTTCAAATTCTTTTGTTAATTTATATGTGAAGGTGTTAATCTTACCAGTTGTTATGTTTTCATTCATTCTCATAAATCTCTCATGCACTTATTCTGTGTAGGACTTAAAGGATTTCGAACATTCCGGGGACTACAACGAGATGTTTGAGAATGAAGAAGATGATAACTGATGAACGTGACACGTGCGTACGTCGCCCGCATAACGTCGTGTCGCGATTTATTGTTTTGAAAAGAAATAGATTATTTCTTTAGGTAATGAAATTAACCATTGATCAAATAGCGGCGTAGAACATCACAACGGAAATAGGTACTCTGCTAAATAAAGATTTTTTATCTTAATATTTAATGGGGGGCGGCGGACGCGGCGCCCGTATGTACAAGACGGCACTATAAACGATTTTTGAACTCAAACGATTTTAATCCTTAATGTAATATCGTGTAATATAATGTATTTTAGGTCATATTAATTTAGTTTCTAAACGAGGTGTAAGTTCAGGACATAGAAAAGATCATGTTGAATAGATGAAATTGCTTGTGGAAAAAATAGGATTTCACAAGCAAAGATTTAATCTGATATATTACCGTCGCTCTTCCTTTTCTATGTTATTGAATAATTTTAATAAAGTAAATAAAATAACTTTGCACTGTGTAGAAGCGCATATGGTTATTACAAAATCTGATATTTCTATAAAATTTATTATTTGCTTGTGAACTACGAAAGGAGAGATAAAATATTATATATAAATGTTTATTATTACAACAGTTTTGTTTAAATCAATAATATAGAATAGAACTAGGTATATCGCCGACTGGTGATCACACATATTAGTTAAATTTGAAAAATCTTTTATAATGCCTTCCTGTTTTGCATTTGTTTTATTAGACTGACGTGATTTAAACTGATTTAAATTCAATGATGGTGTTATTAAGTTATTATTAAATATTTTAGCATCTTTGCATTTGTCATAGTTATAAAAATACTATTAGGTTCCATCTTATATAACCTTATCAAACGGAATAGCCAAAAGCAACAAAGTATTGACAGAGTCATCAAAAGATTTTATTTCAAAATTGTTCATATTATATTTTCGAATTTATTTCAAATAACTTTGAATTCTATCTCTCCAGTGATAGTCAGTATTATCTCAACAGGAATATGAGTACTCAAATATAGATGGATCACACGATTCGAAAGGTTTCGACAGTAAATAAAAATTATTTTATTTGTAACAATATACTTAAGAACTTTGGGGCCCCATTTTCTATCAAATGAGCCACAGGTTGCTGACCCCTGACACGACCGATTTTTGGGTCGATGCATATCTGTCGGAAGATGCGTCCCGTCTCGCCGGTCACAAATTATGTAATCGTGTAACTTATATGATATGACAGTCGACTTTACACACGACGGAAATTCCGTCCCGTAATAAGGCATACTTCTATGATAATCCGTTAGTTTTGCACCACTTAATAATATTTTAAAAATTATGAAAAATGTTCATCCATTAGCTTAAATTTTAAAATTTACATGAAATTTTCCGAGACTAGTTTCAAAATTTATATGACTGTTTACTATACTGATTGGCGTGAAAGATGTTTATTGATAAAACAATGTATAAATTTGTAGTTATAAATATTAAAATCGTATAATATACCTCTATGCATTTAGAAGTGAGAATTATTATAATTGATTAACCACTCTGTGAATATTTGGTCAGTGGGGTGCAGAATTCGTATTAAGAATGTCGAATTGTGTTATTTGTTTTAATTTATTTAGATTGGCATGAATTAAATGCTATTGTGGTATGTTGCACTTAGTAGTTTTATTTGCCTTTTCCCCTGTTATTCATATAGACGGCAAAGTTTGAGAAAATCCAGTTCAATTCCATTTCCAAATCCAAAAATACTTTTGAAATCTATTTTTTACATAGTTATATAATGACGGGTATTAGACGCGATTTTTACACTGACTTGCGCCGACGTTCGGCCGGGTTGCACCGGCCGTGGTCACGACAAGACCGGAGCAGCAAGTCTACGCCGCTGTATCCGAGGATGAATCTTCTTCCATCCTCAGATTTTTGATCTAACTAACCGTCACAAACAACACTAACGGTGTCCCATTTCCGCATAATTTGTAAAAATTTAAAAAAAAAACAATCTTCATTACATCGACAGTAGAGTTTTAAATCCGCTGCTCCGGAATGTGCACTGAGTAGCCTGTTTCTTTGAAATTATTATGCTATTTAACAGAGGTGGGCTACGTGGAGTTGGCGGAGGACTATGTTGGTGTATCGACTGCGCATCGCCAAGAAACATTTAGACAGGGTCCGAATGATGAAGTCCAATCAAACTAATAAAGACAAAAAGTTTGCCTAAATTAAGTACGCTGACCTTTAGTACCCTGATTTAGAAACCGGAGCCTGAAGTCTATAAACAGATAGTTATGTGGGTGCAGCATTTATGTTTTAGAAAACATCTAGGTACTTTTAAAAATTCGGTTCTGTCGACTTTGTATCTGATATATGTATAGTATCGATAGGATGTCGCTATCGTTATTCTGTAGTTGTGTGGGATCAATATTAGGTATATTTTTATTGTGTTCATTGTAGAAATCGTAAAGAAAATTTTATATATATATATTCGGTCCCTTGCCCGCTCTTGTGTTGTAAAGTGTAATAATTAGCATGACGGGATCGCCGATGTGCGGTTGAACTTTAAACTTCTAACAATAAGTCAAATATTGAAAATTCTAAGATTTAGTGTAATAATTTATTTTATTATATTTGATTGACTGAATTGATATAGATCTGTTCGTGTAATACTGGTGTAACCTTTAGTACCAGTGATCAAGACAACACTATAACTACTTATATCAAGTACTATTTTCCCAAAACTTCGCCCGAGAAAATTATAGCTCATGTCATATACGTATGACGTAACTGCTGATCGTAGGTGAATTTTATTACTATCTTTGTTTTTTTGATCGGATCAGTATTTCCAAAGATTACCCACTTTAAACAAAGTGAGAAATTTTACTTCTTTATAATATAAATACACATATAAGTTTGCTTTGCTTATAAGTAAGGTATTTAGTAGGTATACTTACTCTACACTAAATTTTAAGACAGACAGTACAAAATAGTATATCGAATTTGGTAATTTTATATCATAATATTAATGTTGTTAATCTAGATAATTGTCTAAAATAAAAGTATCCTAAATCTACATTAGTTATCCTTGTTAAATGATAATGTTAGTTAAATCGCAATCTTCTCGAGATGGTGGCCTAAAGTTATATTGGCTTTCAAATGAAAGGTTTGATAAGAAAATAAGATAATAACAAAAGCACTTCATTCTGAATACTATATCGCTATGCACCACTACCACCCACGATGGCGGACTCTAGTCACGATTTAAGAAGATTCTCTCCGAAACTCATCATATTATAATATGAAGTCTCAATTTTTTTTCATAGGCGGTTATTATATTACTACAAAGTAAAACCAAATATTTATCGATAATATCGCATTTATTTATCGTATTTGAACATTTTCTCAATTCACGCGGTCAGGTACACGTAACAACGGACTTTAGCGTCATTTACACCAAATTTTGATGTGGACATTACACTGGGGCATAGCTCGACTGTATACAATTGATTGGAGAATTTTCACTGTAATGGCACTTAATATTACCATGGCTTTAAACAAAAGTAATTTTTCACAAAAGCTTACTTCCCGTTTTCCATTTTGTATTTATATTAATTATATTATATAGATAATAATTATAACAGTTCGTAAAATTGTTAATGAACATCAATATATTAATACGATAAACTTATTTCTAAATTAATAACTACTGCCTAAGTGTATAAGCTAAAAATGTAACAAGTCAACAACGTCGCCACACATTTGCTTCTCTTTACCGCTTAAGGAATTTAGACTATTAATATTGGTTGTCTTATCGGTAACTTTGTATTTATACTAATTTCGTAGTAATTGTAACACTCACTCATTTGGCACAAGACACGTCGAAAATTATGGAAGTATTTTTGTTATTTCGATTTCTATAAGGAAAAAGGTATATTATCAATATGGGTTATGCTAATAACATCAAAATAATATATTTAAAAAAAAAACGACAATTACGATCAATAATATAGAAGCAAATGATGACACTTTGTTCTCGTGCATTACGATGCTTAGTGCAACAAAATCACTGCACTCTCGAAGTATATTACTCCCAGTAACTCCAAGAGCATTTGTTCAACTATTTACATCAACGATAAATAAACATAAGCCTAAATCTATGATAAAATTTGTTTAAGACCACTATATGTACATGATGAAAACACCGAATGGGACTTGGATAGAAAGTATTTATCACAATATGTGAAATTTCAGTTAAATTCATTTTGAATTCTACGCTAAATGCATTTAGGTTTAAAATGAAATGGATTTTGTTGTAGCTGTAGTTGATTGTGCATGCTATATAACCTTTATTAAAATTTCAAATTACCGTTACCGCGAAAGCACTTTAATAGAATTCTTTTTGAGAGCAAATTACACGCTTTAACAGTAACTTTCATTGCCCAACAAATTGGTTGGGTAACAGTTGCCAATTTTGAATATTGTATATTTATAGCATTATTATTACATAATTTATAACAGACAAGATCACCGAGATCACTCGTCCATTTGCTCGAACACTGCTTGTTTTTTTTTTTTTTTTTACTTATATGTGTGTAACTTTATCTTCAACAACGTATATTATATTTATATATATATATATATATATATACATTTTATAAACATCTTTTTATTTTCTCATGACAAAGGAATCGAATGTGATGAAAAGTTTTACTCATAAAGTAATGACAGCCAGTCCCATTCCTATTTTCATCTCGTGACTATGTCCAAATATCGGACTGCCAGACTTGTCATACGATGACATTATTGTATAGTAAAAAAACATAATTATTTTCATGCACTTTGCTAAGAATCCTTCGTTAAGTAACTCTTAAAGACAGTCAAAATTTTTGTTTACAGACTACAATTAAGTTCACTATTTAAAATCATATTGCATAAGACATACTATACATAAGTAAAAAAATAATTTTAATACTTTGACAATCAAATAATCAAAAGGAATAAAAACAACAGCTGCCGTATTTACAACAAGAATACTTATAGTTAATTTTGGTATCTGTACAATTACATGTACAATCGATAGCACGTCAAATTATTACAAAAGGCCAAATTCAATCAATCCATTTTGAACCTTGGTCGCTTGATAGTCAAGTTTGAAAACGACTGGAACTTTTCTGCCTTTTGTACGAACCTGAGGTGAAAAAATAATAATTGTACAAGTGATAACTGCAAAGCAAAAGTTGTCCATGCCAAAGTGATTATTCAAACAACATTTTTAATAATAAGTACAAATTATTCATAAATAATATGCTAATAATCGTTGAGCTCTGTGCATTGGACATAAGTTATATTTTACTGTGCATGTATCAGATGTATAATTTACAATTTTACTATATGCCTACAAATTATAATGTTAAAACGTTACTAGTAATGGTAACAGAAAAAAAATATTATTGGGTGACCCGTTATTTAGATCACATAAAAAATTATCTAATATTTTATGTGCATAGGTGGATTCTGATTGGCTAAAAATGCGGTTAGTTTAACTAATTCTGTGTCAACATTTTTTAAAGAATTTTTTGTATATAAATAATATGAAATAAATATGTTACCACAAAAATGGTCACACCATTTTCTATACATACTTACACAATTTATAAAAAATACGATATCATTACTTTGTTCTATGGAAACAATCAATTCCTTTTACACTATATATTAAAAATATGTTTTTCATACATTTACAAACTTCTATTAAAGTAGAGTAAGTTATATTTACATTTCCTTGATTAAATTAAAAAACTACTTCAAATAATCTGAATAGATGGTAATAATTTAAAACGTTCCTTTGATGAATAATAAAAAAAAAATTGGCACCTTATGATGATAATCAACAGTGGCTACTGTTGTAGATCACTGTATCCTATAGTACTCGAATCTTTATCTAAGATAATAACAGTATCATTTTTGTATACGACTTGAAATACAATAACAATTATTTCTGTATCAGTGATATGAACCTCAAAACTACTTTAGTTAGGTGTATTTTTTAATATTTCAAGATGGTTTTTAAATGTTATTTCTGTGAGTGAAATGTTATTTCAGTGTCACAATGACATCTTCAGAAGAGTTATTTCACATATAAGTGATAAAACTCAAAGTTATTTTACCTAATTATAATTGTGGAATAATAAGTTCTGTCCGTCCAAAAGCATGTAGTTTCAAATGGCAAAGGAATTTTGTATACAAGTTTTAAGGTTACAGACATAACCCTTTACATAGATACACATTTACCAAATTCTCACTCTCTATTTAATATAAGAATAAATGTGGTGCATATAAATATGAATAATAATCAATTTAAGGAATTTACAGTGTCAAATTTGTCCTGATGATGGAGATCGATTTATGTTTAGTCATTTAATGAAATGTCATCTGTTGTTTAGTATATTTAAGAGTTGTATAAAGAAATTATGTAACCATTTGATTTTAATTTATTAAATACAAGGTGGAAGCTAGTTCACTGACTGACGGCAACACATTAACTACTGGATGCAGGAATTTGAAAATTTGCACAAATATACCTTATATACATATGTAAGTTAGCACTAAAAAGGAGTTTTTGGAAATTTAACCCTAAGTGCTCAAAATAAGCTTTGAGTTTGAATGGAAGTTCAAAAAATTGAGGTAAAAACTTTGAAGCTTTTTAAACTTTCGCGTTGCATTATATTAGATTGTATGAAACGGATATTAACGCCATGACTAATAGTTAGGTTTTTCACCTTCCTATATTTCCAAACGTTTCGACCGGGCTACACCGGCCGTGGTCACGGGCTGAAAAACCTAACTCAATCTATCGCGTTAATACCCGTTCCATACAATCTGAAGCATTTTATTAACAAAAATTGTGGTTAACTGAAAAATAAAGCTTTAATGTATGTTTACTCATACAAATGAGGTCGCGGGCACGATATATTCGAATCTGAATACTAAACTACATTTCACTTCAAAATGGGGACATTATTCTCAGTTTTGGTCACCAATCAGATAAGTTTGTGGCACAGGCACAATATTTGTGATTCAAATGAAGTCCAAAATGATCTGGTGTGATAATATAAGCAATTATATAATGTTAATTAGGCACATGTTACCTTACAATGTCTAAGACGTATCGCTTTGGAAGTCTCTAGTTAAAACAACTTATGACACTAGGAATGAGTTGCTAAGACGAGGGTTAATATGGAAGTATTCATTTTATAAGTCACTTTACATTTCGATCGCTCTGGAGCTTCAACGTATCCGCAGAACGGGTTCATCTGAAATATTTCTATATAATAATATTTGTTATGATCACTGGAGTCGAGATGCTAGTACGCTGATTTCGAAGTGCCACCATCCCTGGGTTCGATTCAAGATCGGGTCAATATAGAAAAATGACCTTTACTTAATTGTCTTACGAGAAATGTACAAAAAACTCAAGTCTCAGGTGTCCGGAATGGGATTCAAATATAAGATTTCTAATAAAAATATGGCAGCATTTCTTTTTTTTCAATATCAATATAGTGATATTATAGATACAGCATTGAAAATGCAAAATTTATCAAAACTAGTAATTTTCTATATCAACTCTGGTCTGGGTGCTGTTGGTACCTTCATAGATTCAGATTTTCATAATACAAATGCTTTAGCTACTTAATTTGGGATCTGAGCAGTGTATTAAATAACATCAGAGAAATGAAACGACGGGAGCCTTTTAGTTCAGAATGTCCAATTCCTGAAATGTCCAGAATATATATAAATGAATAACATGTTTTATGTTGGTATATTTAAACTACATAATACCCAAAGAAGTCGTGTAGCAATTGAACTCAAAATATATTATTCATCTGAGTATTCCACATTCCAAGAATTGGATATTTCTGGAATTAGACATTTCGGGAAGTAAGCATTTTAGGAAGTGGACATCCTGAGCTGAAAGGGAGGTGGAACGAAATAAAATGCTTACGTTACTCACGTTAGTCTGGCGCATTGAGTAGTGACTGCGAGTCTAGTAGTTGTTCAGGGTCGAGCGTGCCAAGATGCGGCGTATCTATCGTGGAGGGGAGCGCTCCGCCCGCGCCGAACGGAAAGAAACGAGACACCACCGGCGGACACTCCCGCACCTCCGGACCATCGGACCGAGGCGAACTCAGTATCGAGAGCGAGTTCAGCTTGTCGTTCAACCTTTTTATCTGTGGTTAGAGCAGTGTTTATAGTCTTTTTCACATAGCATGGGTACGGTGACGTTTGGAACTTTGAAATTTTTAGTGACATGGTAATAAAAAAATATACAAAAACTCGATAATATTGTGTTTATTTCTAATAGAGATGTTCGATTTTGAGGTCAATGTATAAAATAGGATTAAGGAAAAATATTTATTCATGAACAAGATGAACTCGAGTCAGAAAAATACATTTTTTTTAAAATTTACTTTAATATTACGACAACAATAATAAAAAATTGACGAATGATTCAATCCCTATTATAAAAATATATATATTTATAAATTTTCATTACAAGTATTAATGTTTTAAATATAGGAGGGTTAGATTTCAGTTATTATGTCTATTAAAAAAAATTTTTTGTTTTGATAAATAAATTTAAATAAAAATATATAATATATACACATGCTATCATCGGTAACGGACTATAGTGCCCACATTGCAAGCGTCTGCGACAATGGGTGCGAAGTATGACGCATATGAAACGCGCGTCCATTAAAATTGTCATTAGTTTAAAGCGACATAACCAATACAAATTTTCAAACAGAACATTAATTATAGCTTTAATAAACCTTAATGGACGTTTCTGCAACTTGGACTTTTCTATATTGTCTCGGGTCTGGGTGTTGTGGTAAGGTGCCACACCACACGTTGTCTCGGATACTCATTAATCATAATCCGAAAAGCGCCTGTGGCTTTTGCTACACATCTTGGAATCTGAACAATGTATGTGATGTTCTCTAATACTTATTTATGTTTATGTTTCCGCCGCGGCTTTGCACGCGTGGTCTTACATTATACAGAAAGCTTCCTCTCGAATCAGTCTGTATAATGATGAAAAACATGTAACTATTTTGAAATTTATTATTTTTTAACTTGTTCCTAGTAAACACTTTCGTGGTTTTTTGTTAAAAAAGATGATAAATAATTAGTATGGCCCCATATTGGACATGCGAGGACATAGGGAAATTAGCCCATTCTCGACACCATCAGTCAGATTGCACATTTCAATTTATGTGTCTAATATAATCTGAGTTTCCGAGTAAGAAATATTTATATTTAATTAGTTGTTCATTAATTATGCCGATTTAAATGTTGATATCGTTTTAATATTAGTTAAAACTGCATTTGAGAACAGTAATAATCACACAGCTGCCGCCGTTGCCCTCCCCGCTGCTGTCCAGAACGGTTCATACAAACTCTATACAAATTATTTGCGGCCTAATATATTAACTATATAGTAATAAAAATTTTTTTTTTTGTTTTCTACTGAGTTATCCGAAATCTTCAAGTAAAATACAATTGGACGGTTATTATTCATAAACTTAAGTGTGAGTTTTACTTTTAATTTCATAATAAATAAGTACTATTGTAACAACGTTTGGATTTTTACCATTTTGGTCATTTTGGTTGGAAAAAGGGAGGGAGGCACACTTGACTTCAACGAAAATTAGCTCTTTAAAGTTTAACAAGTCACAAACGGTTTACTAAATCGAAAAACGGCTTTCCCACACCTCCAATATTTTGAAAGACATATCTAACGATGCCTCACACTATGGGAAAACGAAAAAAATATACATCATCCTTACTTTACATGTACCCTCAAAAATATTTTTCAAAATTTTACTTTACCACTTTGTCGGCGTAATCAACCTGTATACTCATGTCAAATACAACTTTGTAGTACAAATAGTTTATGAGCTAAACCGCGGACGGGCGGACGGACATGGCTATAAGGGTTTCTTGTGTATTGAATTACGGAACCCTAAAAAGATATATATCATAGTGGACGGTACCTCCTTGTATGTGTACATGTTGTGTACGTGGTACTGCACGTCGCCAGCATGTCCTACATCTAGCGGTGACAGCCATCGCTCGTAACATGCGGACCATACCTCCACGCTGCCCACAGACCACGCGCTAACCAGGCGAGTCGGGGAAGACGGGCCACCATACTGAGCTGTTAATATAACTTATTTAGGTAAACGGAAATCAACCAAAATGAATCGAAACGAAGGAGATGAAAGACAGAAATCAGAGACAGAAATCTTTTAATTATTTGTATTAAATAAAACCTAAGAACCTGCGCATACCAGTACGAGCTGAATCTTCAGAATAGGGTATTTGACAACATTAAAAATATATTAAAAATTGTGGTCATCCTAGGAGAAAATAGCGTAATAACACTTTCAATTTATTTTAAATGAAATAATGTATATTTTTTGCAGATTACAGAAAATAAAATTAAATATCTTTTGACATTTTATCCGAGATGAAATGCGTTGTAAATAGTTGCAATTCTATGACGTCACTCGCTAGTAATAGTTCCTGTTGACGATTTTAGATAGATGAAGTTTGTTTATTTACTTGCGTGTGACGCAATACGTGGCGTAATGGCGGCTTAATACACTGCGTATTAAAACTGAAAAAACAACTATCGGTATAAAAATGTATCTGTTAGAATATCCCATTTTCGGTTAGTAAATATCATTATACAATGTCTATAATTAATAATCAAATTATTTTAATAAAATAATAGAGTTTTGTTTCTGAGCCAACCCACGCGTCAACTTAGCAAAGATTTGACGAAATATTCGATATTCTAAGACAGCACATACATATTACAATTACAATTTTCTTACCAAAATTTTGAACACTAATTGAAAACTATCTTAGAGGTCTATTTTACTACTTAGTATTTTAACAAATGGTGCCGTATTTGAGTATTGTTTTGGTTTGCGAGGAGGAGAATAACAATATGTATTGTATTGTTATTCAAAGGTTAAAACCAATAACTGGTTGTGTTTTGTTTTCATTATTTTACTTTTATATTCGTCGTAAACAATAATATATTACATAGGATTTTAGGATAGGTGATCACAGTTCGAAATCAGACCACTATGGCATTAAAAAAACCGAAAGAAAGGAACGAATCCTCTAGCATCTCATAAATACGACCTATTTCATTAGTTTTGCAAATGATTACGCTGCGTTTTTCTAGATATTGCTCCGAATACATCAAAATATACTGTATATTATATTAAAAAACTTACATATCCTCTGCGACGGTAATCTTATGGACTGGCATGCATACAACGGGTTCTCAAATAGAGCTTTATCTTCTTCCGAGAACTGCTCGCCCCAATCCCATACCGGCCTTTGCACTAGACTCTATGGAAAAAATAAACTTATATGAGTGGCAATACTTACGTGTAAGTGTAATTTAAATTAAATATTTCCTGATTATTATTAAGAAAAGTTTTGTGAAAGTGTAAAATAAATTAGTATTTTGTTGTTTAATTTAGTTATGTATAATATTATTATTAGTTTGCACTCCCGTTTTTGTAATAATTTAGTCCTTTCCATCCAAAGATTGCCTGGTAAAGACGATAAGACCGCCAATTGTTGCACTGTATTGTTAATATCCATGTATTATGTTTGTGTGATGCTTACAATTAAGTTATTTTTATAATTAAGATACGTCACCTTGGCTGTGGCCAGTTCCCTGTCGCGGGGGCAGTTGAAGAGGAAGGTATCGAAGAGATGGTTATGTGCAGCGTCCCATAGTGTAGCGAGATACACGTCTGTGAACTGGAAGGCAGAGGGATGCCGTACAGACAGTTGCCACACGCAGTCCAGGAACAGCAGGAACACAGGACCCACCTGTGCTGTACCAGAGCCACTGTCCTTGCCGTCCTTACCGCCGCCCGGCCGAGGGAGACCTAGTCTGGATAATCAATCATACGGGGATTATTGGCTAATAAGGCTTTATATGTGTCTGATTAAAAAAAAAAGGTTAAATATATTATACTGAGAACATAATTGCTGTAGGATAATGTCTATGTAAACAGTTTTTAACATTATTTCGTTTTCGTCAGGAAAATTAAATCATTTTAAAAAGTGAAAGTAAGAAACTGAAACGCAATGTTATTTGTCAGGGAGGATGTAACAGAAAATAAAAATTTAAAATCGATGCAATAACATGTAGAAAATAAAGGTTTTATAGGTAAATAAAATAGTATAGAGCTCATGACATTAAAGTGTTTATTTTGTATGCAACAATATTTTGAATATCACATTCTAGTGTATTTTTACATTATAGATTATTACATACCTATATGGCCAGGATTACAACATATTTTAATTAACTATACATTAGAGATGCGCCGAATAGTGGTTTCACAAATACTAGAACCGAATATATTCGACACCAAAACTGAACAATCCAGCCGAATAGAAATAGTGAAAGAATAGAAAGATGCCGAATACCAAACGAATATTCAGAGCCTCTCTACTATATACTGTCTTATCAAAAATTTCATGAAGCTTTATAAAATGTCACCTGTTACTAGATTTGATGAACGTTACATTCATAGTGTTATATCGTTTTTTTTTTTTAATAAAAAAATAAAATCTTTATGTGTAACAGTGCATACTTACCTACATTTAAGCACTTATTTATTTTGAACGAAAACTCTGAATTAACGCAGACGAAATTGCAGCTAGAAGAAACTCCTTTTTTTTGTTGTAATCGTATGTATGTACAAAGAAACAGTTTGATGTTACCTGTCACAGAAGGGATGCCCTAACGCGACCCATTCCTTTTGTATGAGCGACTGGAAGCCGGAGATGGTGCGGAAGTGTGGGTCCAGCATCAGCTGCGTGAGCGACGACACCACTGCGCAGTAGTCCACCCCGTCACCTGGGACCAACACAACTAGGGATGTATCGATACACACTTCGGCCAATACGATGCCGATATTTATATAAAAAAAGTGTAATACGATACCGATGACTCAAAGAAAACTCGAACATTATAAAAACTACAATACTGGTCAAGTGCGAATCGGACTCGCGCATAAAAGATTCCATATTATGTATATCCATAAAAAAAGCAAAAAAACACGTTTGTCGTATGGGAGATTATTGATACCCTTTTTTCCGTTTTTAGTATTTCCGGATCCGAAATTTTGCACAATTCGTATTAGGTCTATGGCAGTGTTGTGCGTTAATCAATCAATATTTTAATCATATTAATAATTGATTAAAATGTTATTCCAGTTAATTTAACTGCAATTAATTTAGTTGTTAATAATCTGTTAATTGCAGATGGCAATTCTTTTATTGACTCATATTAATTGCAAGATGCAATTAAAATATTTCAACAATTTTTTTTTCAGGAATTATTAAAACTAACCATTTATTATTATGTTTCACAAAAAACAAGTATCAAAAACAAAGATCATTTATGTGTGGGTACAGTCGGGACAGTCACGATTTTAATGATGTTATCTCGCGTCACAATTTTGATTAAGCAACGGTCAAAAAGGTCAGAAACGGGATAGATGATCAATATCTTTTATTGGGCTGAGCAGGGTGGTGCGTGACAGGCGTATTCCTTTCTTTATTTTCTTTCTTTCCTTACTTTTTTGCCTTCTTTTCGTTCTTGCACTTAGTAACGTGTAAAGAAAATTTGGTTCCCTACCCCATTACCCCATTCCACGATATCGCTCATCGATGTCGAATTGCATCGCATCGAATCATGAGTAAAGAGCCTAATTCCCATAAATATTGATTTAGCGCGGCCTGCAACTAAAGGCTTTCTTTTGATTTTGCGAGATCATCAGTTAACCTGATGGAAATACTGCCCTGTGCCATCCCTCCATCTTATATTATTTCTTTTACGATGCTTAAATTTGATTAAAATTTAATTGCAGGAACAGTTAACAATTAATTGATAAACTAACAAGTAGTTAATTGAAATGTCACAGTAAACAATTAATCAACTGTTATTTAGCAATTACAAATAATGCAATTATCATTATTAGTTTCTCGACAATTATCCTGCCCTGTGTCACCCCTCCATCTCATATTCTTTTACAATGTTTAAATTTCAACAATTGTTAATTGAAAAACTAACAATTCATTAATTGTTAGTTTTTGAAATGTTATAGTTGACATTAGATTACAATTAAACTTTGCCCAACACTATCGTAGTAGTAACACGAGGTCCTAATACGATTTTTTTCAATGTACAAAAAACACAATAGATGGCGTTAACAATAAACAAGTAGCTCGATGGCGTATAGGCGATCTTTGTGGTTAAGCAACTTTCGCAAGGGTCGGTCACGGGATGGGTGACCAAAAAATTATTATCTCGAGCTACTTCGGAAGGCACGTAAAGCCGTTGGTCCCGGTTGCATTTGCAGTCGTTAATACCCTCCAATCCGCATTGGGCCAGCGTGGAGGGTCATGGCCCATCCTCCTTAACCATCCATAAGGTAGGCCTGAGCCCCTGCAGTGGGGACGTAAAAGGGCTGATGATGATGATGATCAATAAACAAATATTTAACCGATAATTATGACATTATATGTTCCTTAAAGACAGATGTTTTCTCGACATTCCGTCTTTTCATACATGCTCGCTTAATTGTTTCTGAGAACACCTTTCGATAGTATGCTATCGATAGTAACATATCTTTATCGACATACCCGAACCAATGGACCATGCCTCTGTTATTTTTATACATTATAATTATCATATGATGCAATAATATAATGTTGGAAAAAGCGTACCTTCCTGTAGCACAACTGTAACATTGTTGGAGAGATGTTCTGCAGCATCAGTGGCGGCCATCAAGCAGGACGACACGTATCGTAACCAACGACTCGACTCAAGAGTTCCGTAGTAATCAGAGTCTTGCTTCTACATCACAAATATTTAATTATACGTAAATAAGTAAGCTCAGTGGCACAACGGATAAGCGCCACAGCCCGCGATCTTTTTTGTTAAGCAACTTTCACAAGAGTCGATAATGGGATGGGTGACCAAGATATTTATTTCTCAAGCTACTTCGTGCTTCGAAAGGGTAAGCTGTTAATCCCGACTGTATTCGCAATCGTTAATACCCTTCAATCCACATTGGGCCAGCGTGGAGGGTCATGGCCCATCCTCCTTAACTATCCTTATGGATGGCCCGGTAGTGGAAAAGGGCTGATGAGGATGGAATGTTTATTAGACAATAGACTATAATGGGCCTTAGTCAGTATTCTTTGATTGCATTACGCGCATCTCTATTTGTCAGTTAGCTGTTACTTTGACGTTTACTCATATTGTACTTCTGGGTTGTGCATTTTAATTGTAATTATATTAATTGATCCTAGTAATACATACAAACATGAGTAAGACGTTCTTAGGGTACCAATTGTTGGAGAAGGTTGACAATGCCATTTCATGTGTAAATGAAACAACGAGAGGATGTCAGTACAAGTGTGAATGAAATAGATATATGTTTGTACGTTCCGCGTAGTTCGGCAATCGGAGTGATCAAGCAACCAACCCAAAATTGAGCATTATAGCGTTTTCGAAAGAGTAAAATTCGCTTTGACTTTATAGGGTTGTGAAAATAACTAGTTATCAAAAGTATATAGTTTTGATATCGGTGATTGGCGATCCGATAGCAACTTTAAAAAATGAATAACGACCCATCGCTAAAGTGAAACATTAGACGTACCCAGAAGTCAGCTAGCGTGGTGGGGGTACAAAGGTCGACCAGTTTCCGATGCGCGGCGGCGAGCGTAGATAGCGGCGGCAGTGCGTTCGCTCGCTCGGTGTTGAGCGGATGCCCGCACAGGTACGCCACGTGCGGCGGCGTTAGTTTCGGGTGAGACCGACGCACCTGTGTACACAATACACTTCACTATACTCGTATTACTGTTACAGGAGCCCGATGTACGTGTTCAGTAATATTTTACATGCATACTTGTTCAATAATATTAAAATAAAAATCTTTTATAATTAATATAAACGCAATCAACAACTTACAAAAATAACAATTAGGCAGATGTTCAGTATTATTTAAGCGATTTAGTTAATTCGAACACTGTCATTCCAAAAATTTATGTTGAAGTTTTAATTTAATATTTTTTGTGTTTAACTATTTTTAAGGAGATGTGTAGTTGATTAATGAATTATGGCATCAGATAGTAAGTTCATTTTTTTTATCTATTATCTTATAGGATCACCACAATTTTTAATTAATTATAATGTTATTAAATACCCTATTCTGAATTCGTTGTTCTTTTGACTGGTTTAATTTTGCTCCACTTTTTTTAGCTCCGTTTTCACAGCACTGACATTTATTGACTCGTAATTCACAATTGTTACAATGAATCTCTTACTGTTCACCGATAAAGTATGATATAATTTGACATTTTGAAAACCTCGCTTTACACTAACGCCTCTAGTGACAAATTCAAACCATTCAGCTTTTCTTTGGTACAGCTTTTAAAAATTTGAAGACGATAGTATAAAACTAAAGTATCTTATCTAGAAGTGAATGAAAAACCTTGAAGAACTAACCTGTTCTAAGAGAACACTCTCCGTTGTCGCCGATTGGTCGGTCTGTAACAACTCGCCACTCCTCAAGAGGGCCGCGCCTTCCGGTCTGCCCCATACCCAGATTGGTACTCTGCCAGATCGGAAGTGTCTCGCACTCGATATGAGGTTATAGTCCAATACAGAACTGGGAACTATTAGCGTTTCACCGGCGGTAAGCATGAACGCGTCTGACGTTCCATTGATACACGTGATTCTCCAATGAGGACACTCGCATCGATCCAACTCCCTCTTCCAGTCTCCAGGCCTTTGGAACATGTTTAATTCTGGCGGTAACGTGGGGTAGTACGGCTCTTTATATTCGTATGCGAAGAGTAAGTCGTGCCGCTTGGGGAAGGCGTGGTGCATCAAGGCCATGGCAACTCTCCTGCCGCTGCCTATGGGCGAATTGGCGAAACTGAACGTTAAAACCTTCATATTCTGAAAAGATAATAAATAAATATATATTTGGGCACCTACACGATAAATATTCCATGATATATGGCTTTGGAATGCTTGGAATGTGAGCAACGTGTGGGATGTTTTCTAATTTTTTTTTTTTAATGTTTATATTTCAATAAATTATTGGTGTACGTTTTGTTTTTCAAATTAGTTGGACCGAATTTTCTAAAATGGCACGTTTCTTTGACGGTCATGATTCAGATTTTTTGGTCTGCTATGATACTATTTTGGCAACAAAAACTTTTTCACATTTTCGTTTAAGAAATGTCATGTATAAACATCGCGTCATCACGTGACTTAGTTTACATATACACTGTGACTCAGAAGGCCTCGTCGCGTCGATTAGATAACAGTGCGAAACAGATTGCCTGAAATGTTTCACTTATCTCACTGTGATTCTATAAACTATGCATTTTGCAGACAGTTCATCTAAAAACCTTTTTTCACTTATACCTGCACGTGTCAGTTTTATTCAAGGTGTTAGACTCTGAGGTTCCGGATTCGCCTTCCGGTCGGGTTAATATTGAAAATTATTTTACCATATTGTTTAGGGTCAGAGTGTTCAGAATAATTTCACGGGCTATATTTTCATGTATATCATTTTTCAAAAATAAATAAGTAAATATATTTTACCACATTACCCAGATCCCAAACTAAGTAACTAAAACTCTCGTCTAATAACGGAAGTATTACAATATAAAAAAATAAGATTAATTTATTTTCTACAGTAACCCTATCGGGCATCTAATCTCGGACCGGCGTGTTAGCCTCCTTGCTAAGGAGGTCGTCAATAACTTTTTAGTGAGTTGCAGCAGCATGTTTTTGAGTATACTGACAGAAGTTACAACTGTGGTTAAGATTTTCGTCATTATTTTTATTTTTCTATGGCAGTCCGGACCGTTCTTCATTGGGGAGTTGTATGTAATACAAAACAAAATATGCATTAAATAAATGTCCATTTTTTTTGTTATCTTTTTAAGAGGTTTCGTGGCCTACTTTGTTTTCTCTGTTGTTATGCTTTTATGTTAAGGACCACTGTGATAGAATAATACCTTGCAGACGACTTGAAGACCCTTGACCTTCCCGGGCATGTCGCCGCCGGGCATGAGACTGCGCCGGCGCACAGGCCCGCCGTCGGTCAGCCACACCGCGCCCACTCCCGTCAGCGGCACGTCAAATGTGCCCAGTAAAAAATTCCTTTGACCATACTCCTGCACAGAAAAAAGCATTCTGGGGTCTAACCATGAGCTCTCATAGCAATGCTTAATCCTTGCTACAAGCGGGACACCGCTGTTGTTCCATTTAGCACTGCTCAGCCAGCTGCACGGATTAAACATTATTATAAAAGATGATGGTAACTCCCCCCCAGGTGGAACGTTATGGTAAAGCTATTTTTCAGCGTCAATAGGTGGAGTTAGTCTGTGTTATATATTCTTTTCGATATTTTCCACTGAGTTGTGTTAAACTATATATTTATTTAAGGTTATTTTTTTATATGAATAGTGTGTTGGGTTCGTATTTTCCACGAATGAGGGCGTTAGTTATGAGAATATTTGTTTCCATATGTGATTTCTATTTACAAAGTGGAAATGAGAGCAATGATTAGTCCGGAAAGTAAACAACTAATTACTTCTTCTAGTAAATATCTAATTACTTCTTTTTAATTTTTTCTATAAAATGTTACTTTCGCCGCATTTTGAATTAATCACAAAACATATCCATAATAAATATGTGATTTCCAATCTATTATATAATTGATTTCCAATTTATTATAATTATAATTAAGATTTTAATCGTAAAAATTCTTGCTGAGCATTGTTCGGCAAGTCACACACAAACCTTTAAATAGATATAGATAGCATTAAAATGTACATTAAAACTTTCATATGGTCATACAAACTAGCATGACATACTCACATCTCCTTGCGAGTACTCCATAGGTACAAAGGAGAGCTTGTAGTTCGTGACGAACAGCGAGCCAAGTCTACCACGGTCCCGCTCGCTCAGCGGCGTCAGCATCACCACGCTGTGAGCAGCTCCCACCACCAGTTCGCCTGAGACAACATATTTATCATTATCCCTAACGCATAACTACAACTTGGGATTTTATTTCATAATCATCATCTTCACCAGCTCTTATACGTCCCCACTGCAGGGGTCAGGCTTTCCTTATGGATGGTTAAGGAGAATGGGCCATGACCCTCCTCGCTGGCCCAATGCGGGTTGGAGGGTATAAACGACTGCAAATGCAGCCGGGACCAACGGCTTAACGTACCTTCCGAAGCACGGAGTAGCTCGAAAGAATAATTTTTGGTCACCTATCCCGTGACCGACCCTTGCGAAAGTTGCTTAACGACTGCGATCGCGGGCCGCGGCGCTTATCCACTACGCCACCAAGCTACTCGGATTTTATTTAGTTGACACTATAATCGATCAAAATACTCCAATACTGTATTGTTGGATGCAGTATGTACCTTTCAATGTAGGATGTCAACCAAATTGAAAACAATTTAGTTAGGCGGTAGGTGTGCTGAACTTACTTTGCGAGAGTCATCGTTATCATCAGACTATGAATGTATAAAGGCCTACGCCCCAGCACCCCACTGCTGGGGTATAGGATTTTTTTTACTTAAAACCCATATAAACTCTAAGTTTCCTGGAAGAGCCAGCTGTTTAACAATGAGGCCGCCTACTGTACAAATATATAGTTTTATAATTATTTTGCAGTAGTGTTAAGTAAATACTAAATAAACGCATAACTATATTATTTAGATCAACTATTCAACTTAAAATAAGAAATAGAATTAATTCGGGTAATACCCTAGGGAAATTACTAGTAGGGTTTCGATAACAGTGTTAGTTCATTAGTTCTACGATTTTCCTGTACGACCGACTCTTAGTAATATGGTACATATTAGCGTATGGATGTTTTTTATTATGGTTAATTAAGTTCATAAACATAATAGGTGGTAATCCATATCGCCAGAAACTTAACTCGACAGACACGCAGTTAGGCAGACACACCTCGACAGATATGTACTTCATCATATATTGAGAGTTGGAGGTTTGCTATTAAGTATTATTTATTTGGGCTATGGAATTTGAAAAAGGATTAGGTACTAACTGGAAGCTAAAACAAAACTATTTAATTTTATGAACTAACTAGCTGTGCCCGCGGTTTCACTCACGTGGAAAATAGCCTAACTTACCTCTTGTTACACATAAGCTATCAATTAGCCAGTGAAAGTCCTGTCAAAATCAAAACATCGTGACAAACTTTTGCATTTATACTTATATTATAAATGTAAAAGTTTGTCAGGATGTGTACGTATGTATGTTTGTTACTCTTTCACGCAACACTACCTACTAAATGGATTTTGATAAAATTAAGTATGTGGATAAGTCTAAGCCTGAATTAACATATAGGCTACTATTTATCCCACTAAACAGTTCTCTAGGGAACACGCGGACGAAGTAGCTGATTGCTTTGCGGAAAGCTAGTGATTAAATAAAAACTTTAATGGGTTTAGTTCACTGTATCGGTTGGATAACCTACACAATAACACAATGAGTCACACACACCAACTACTATAATTGAATGTTTAATTAATTACCTACGTACCTGAATTGACCGTTTGGACTGGTCGAACGATCAGAGATTCAGATTCCAAGATATATGGTCGAGGGGAGATATACCGTTTGCGAGCTTATTTTTGTATATAAGATGAACATCTATATTATTGATAACTATTAAATGGACTAAGCAACTTGAAAAACTTGGTTATTTTTCAGGATAAGGTATTATATATTTTTGTGACATATAAGTGGTAGTCTGCCACTGCGCCGACCACTTATTCTTTGACCACACCACACACATTATTTTTTCCTCAAACTCAAATCAAGATCTTTCTCTTCTAATCTCTAGTTTGATTTGCCGTTAGATTTATTGTTTAATGGTCGGGTAAGACGTTGAACGTTTTTTTAAGTAATAGAGCATATAAGTTCCGTTCCGACAAGATAAAATATGTCAAATAACAAATCAGGAGAAAAAGATAGCAAACTTATGATGTCATGTTAAAAATTGCTTTGGTTACCTCTACCAATCTCCTGCCTATAGATATTTTCTATACTAAATATTATAAAGAGGTAGTTTCTAACTAATTATTTGTTTGGGGGTAACTTTGAGAATACTGACCCGATCATGTAAATTCTTTCAACTACGGAAAAATACATCATGCGCGGGTGCTATGGACTGTAGTTATTACTTCTTTCTTTATTATACAGCTAGTATTTAATATTTAGAGCTTAAAGGAAAATGAGGTAGGTATGTGATATTCAATAAAAAGGTTATCGAGTATTTCACTTAACAACCTTGGGGTGTGACGAACCAGTAAATATTTTTCCAACACCGATTACAGAAGTAAAAACAGTATTGGCTAAGACGGCCCTGAAATAGTTTTTATATAATTTACTGTTCCATGATTTCTTTCTCGGTAAAAAGTGAAATTGTATTTGTTAGTAAAGCACGGAAATTTTTTTGTTAGTAAAGCATTAAGCTTTTTTACCCTAACATCACTAATAGCTGTTTTATTGTCCCAAAGAAGCAATATTATACATATATGTAATTAGCATAAAAGTGCGATTAAACAATACCAGAAAAAAATGTATTTATTTTCATTTACTGTCTACACCCGTAGTATAACAATTTTTAAAAAAGTTGTTTAAAAAAGAAATCAAATCTTTCCTCTTTTATTATATTATAGTATAGATTATAAATCGGACCGGACTTATAATAATCGCTATCGTAGTGGGTTAGCGCATTCGGTTTACGATGTGCTTAAATAAGTAATACCGTTTATTTCACAACAAGAAAATGACATATTTATGTATGTTCATAAATATTTTACATATCTACGAAAGAAAAACTTATTGTTAGGCAGCGATTTCTTTCAGGTAACCTAGCATTGGATGGAAAAACATTACAAGAAATACAACACAATATTACAATTTAAAAGGATCAAGATCCAGAAAAACAGTTGAGACAGCGTAAATATCACAAATACGGAGTATACCTATTGTTCGATCAAAATGCTCAAACACGAGACTAGAGAGAATAGTGAGAAAAAAATATAAAAATAACGTAACGTAACTTCGAAATGTTCGTTGGTTCCGGCTGTACCAGCAGTCGTTAACACCCACCAATTCGCATTGGGCCCGCGTAGTGGATAATTACGCGTAGAGTAATGGACCATTGCGCCTATTTATTTCGATTTCATCTATTGAAAAAAAAAAAGAATTCTCTTAATATACTTTGCCACACAGACGAAGTCGCGGGCACAGGTAGTATTAAATATATTATACAAACAGTAACGACAAAGGAATCTGGACTTTGATTATTTATATCAAAGTTGGAGAAATTAAAGGGAGCCGTTTGAAAACTGTTAAAACTATACTTATACAAGCGACCGTAGATTATAAAATTCAAACATTGTCATAAGTAGGTATAAACATTGGTAGCGGAAATTTGAACAAATAGCTTTTATTATTAATGAAAAATGCTTAAAAAATCCACTTCTTCCCTGGCACCCAGAGATGGGATTCAAACCCATGACCTTTCTACTAGCAGCGTCGCCTACATGGTTTTGCGGTTTTCATAAACAGAGTGATTTAATGGGAAGTTTTATATGTGTAACTACCTGTTTTCCCGCGACTTCGACTGCATAAATTATAGCGTAAATGTCACCCCCGTATGAGGTAGCCTCCAGTAGATGACAGAATTTTAAAAATCGTTCCAGCAGTTTCGAAGCCTCTTTGAAGCAAACAAACAATCGAATGTTTTTAGAATATTAGTAGGCATAGATAAATTAATGACACAAGACCCCGCAGGTGAAGCCGCTGGCAGAAAGCTGGTATTTATTAAGTATATAGTACAAAATATGGAACAGATATCATGACGTTTATCAGTAAGATATAAAAAGATAAATTATTTATTTTCTGTTGTCGTAATATTATCGTACACGGACTAATCACGTATTTACGACAGGGTATCGTGCACCGACTTTGGTTTAATATCAAAAGTGTCTCCTACATTCTTTACACCATTTCAAATAAAATCTTTATGAATGAAAATTGATAATAACTATTTGTTTATTGAAGGGAATTTCTCACGTTTCATTTAGAAAACGATTTTCAAATCGTCAACTATATGGTCAATGTTTCAGTTCTGTCTGAGAAGAAAAAACAACAAAATACTTATAATAATACTGCTTAAGAATAAAGTAGTGAAGATCCTTCTCTACAAAAGATGTATATATGACCAGTGCCATAATTAGCAGTGGCTAAGTAGCCCTCGTTAACGGCCTCAAGATGTATATATGGCCATAATTAGCAATGGCGAAGCAGCCCTCGTTAACGGCCTCGCAAAGACTTGTGGGATTAGATTATTATATTCTTAACTAGTAGATCTATGGTTTGATTAAATAAACAAATATTTTATAAATATTTTTTAACAACATCACATACATTGCTCAGATTCCAAGATGAGTAGCTAAAGCCCCCGTATTATGGAGTATCTGAGACAACGAAGGTACCACAACACCCAGACCCGAGTCAATATAGAAAAGTTTATTTTCGACATTGACCCGACCGGAAATCGAACCCGGGACCTTAGAGATGGCGACACCTTGAAACCGGCGTGCGAACTACTCGGCTACGGAGGTTTTACAAAGATCACTACCGTCAGATTGACCGAAAATCATAGATAATTAGGAAAAACATAATAATGACAATAACATGAAGTATATTAACACACCATTTATTGTTGTTAACACAGAGGTAATGCATTTTAAGTTTTAAATCAGAGCTTTCCAGGACATGGACCTGCGCCAACGTATAAAACACTCGTAATACGAGGGTCAAACTGAAAGTTCTTAGAACTGGCCACTTATAAACAATATAATAAAAAATAATTCTAAAATTTGAAAATATAACTCTTTGCCAATATTACTGAGTATATATTTCATTCATTTGTCATTTGTTTTACGATTTGGCGGCAAATTGAAAATTGTCTGTGTCACGTCATCATGAATTTAACACGAGAAAATTTTCGTGCAATGATTTTTTATGACTTTCGATGTCATTTAAGTCAACAAGAAAGTTATGATAGACTACGATTGGCCTTTCACGATGAAGCCCCATCTCGTGCGACTGTTTACAACTGGTTTAATGAGTTTAAACGTGGTCGCACTAATCTCACTGATGATTTACGTGAGGGACGGCCTTCTACGGCGACGACTGAAGATAACATCTGTGTTGTGCGGCGTATGATAGAGACTGACAAAAGAGTGACCTATCAACAGATTCGGACAAGCTTAGGCATCGGTATGAGTCAAGTGCACAAAATCCTCCACGAACATTTAGCGGTCAGGAAGCTTTGCGCCCGGTGGATACCTCATAATTTGACTGAGGCTCAAAAACTCCATCGTGTGGATTGGTGTCGTAAAATGATTGAAAGATTTAACGGAGGTGACTCAAATGCTGTGTTCGACATACTAACAGGTGACGAAAGCTGGATTTACTGTTATGATCCTAAAACCAAAAGACAATCTGCTCAGTGGGTGTTTCCTTTCGAGGAGTTGCCAACTAAAGTGAAGAGAGATCGAAGTGCGGGAAAAAAAATGGTGGCCTCGTTCTTTGGAAGGATAGGTCATTTTGCAACAATTGTATTAGAGGATCAAAAAACAGTTTCTGCAGAATGGTACACTACCAATTGTTTGCCACTTGTCTTGGAAAAAGTTCGAGAGAAACGACCTCGCAGTAGGATCCTCCTTCACCACGACAACGCCTCGTCGCACACCGCCAAGCGAACGATCGACTATTTGGCGACATCAAACGTTGAATTACTGGGTCACCCGCCGTATAGCCCCGACCTCGCGCCTTGTGATTTTTATTTATTTCCAAAAATTAAAGAAAAACTTAAAGGAAAGCGGTTTATGAATGCTGAAGAAGCGGTGGCTGCGTATCGCGATGCCATTGAAGAGACCCCTAAGGACGAGTGGGCAAAGTGCTTTTCCCAGTGGTTCCATCGCATGCAGCGGTGTATTGACGTGAATGGACAATATTTTGAAAAGATATAATAAAACTAATAACTGGCTAATGTAATCAGTTTTTGATTTTCTAAGAACTTTCAGTTTGACCCTCGTACTCGCAACATTCGGAATCCTCCAAGGAGAGCTCCAGAACACGTACAAAAAAAAATTCAAAGATCTATTAGTTTGATTTTAGGAACTGATACTGAAAGAAAAAAGGGTCGGTCTTCAATCACATTTAGATATGCCCGGCGCTATCGCTACTCCACTGATACAGAGAGACTTTTCTTAAGGCGACCCATTTAAGTGACAATGCACGCGCAACTGTCACTCGCCTTTGGGTCGCAACTTCCCATCCCAACACAATCACTGAGCATAAATGGATGTACAGTTAAATACGTATGCGATATGCATAATGTAATAGTAGCTAACTACTAAAAGCAATATTTTATTGCTCTTGTTATAGCATCATGTTTTACGACGACAAAATGTTAGGACTTGATTTCCTGTTTTTTTTTTAATTCTTAGTGAAAAATAGTAGAAAAATTAATTTATTTTAGGTTATATATTAAGAAAAAAAAAAACATATTAGACTCTGGTTATATATTTTAAGTGTGCAATGGATAATCCATAGAGGGTGCAAGGTTGAATGTCAAATCATATATTTGTCAGTTCTGAAGTACTGCAACTGACAATCATGAGTCAGTCTCCCGCACTGCTAATAGTTTTCTAGTAATCTCTCCTCACTTCCCTTCTCTCACTTCTTTGATTATTTACTTTCAATAATCAAAGAAGTGAAATGGAAAAGTATAATTGTGTATTACAATACCAAAACCCAATACTTAATGTGATTAGAATTCTACCACTAAGAAACATTACTTTATGATTAACTAGGTTTCCACCAGCGACTTTCCTCACATGGTCCTGTATTATACATATTAACCTTCCTCTTAAATCTATCTGTCTGTATACTGAAATCTGTTGTGTAGTTTAAAAAATCTCAGAATACAGACAGAAGAAGCAACTTTGTTTTATGCTATGAAAAGACAATTACTAAACTCACCATTTAATAATTTAGGCTTCACCTCTTGTATTGCACCATTTTTCTCTCCATTGTTCTGAAAATTCAAATAGTATATGAAGTTTCTGATATATATGCTATCAAATATTTGCTCTTATGTACTTACTAAACTATAACAGATTTTGGGAATATTGCTTTTGTGTTCTTTTTAGGGCAGAGAAAGAATAACATCTAGGGGGAAAATGAATGGAAAATGGAAAATTTGTAACTACTGTACAATCTCTCCAGAACATTAGTGATGAGGATATGATATCCTCATCACTAATGTTTACAACAGTTTACAATATGGAACAAGGCCTGTGGGCCTTGTAGCATCATCGGCTAAATTTCATAACATATTCTTGAAGCTCTAAAAGGTGTCTAACCTTAGTTCTTAAGTATCAACATTTTCTATTTTATATTGTATTGAGCAACTGTATTGAATAATTTGATTTTTTTTTTACTTCAATTTAGCTAAATTACTGGTACTATATATACAATGTTTATAATAATTTTTATGTTTGACAACTGGCTGAGCTTCACCACTCATTATGATATGGTCACCACTAAATGTAGACAATTGCTAGGATTCATTTATCATATGTCCTGTGATTTTAAATCTCCTGAGAGTGTGCTTCTGCTAGGTATAGCAGATCAATCTTTTGATTTTGGATTGAATATGCTTCCGTGATTTGGTCACCTTATTATCAAAACCACATTGATAGGTTGGAATCAATACAGAGGCGAACTCTCAAAATGTAGACCATAAAACAAGGCCTCAAGCGTGAGCTCTGTTCCTATAGCGAACGTTTGCGTTTCTTTGGTTTGCAGAGTCTTTATGATCGCCGAAAAATGCACGGTATTCTATTCTTATATAAAATATTGAACGGAATGATACCTACATCTTTGCTATCGGAAATTCACTTGAGAACGCCTTTTAGATTGCCTAGGCTGCTGCGCCCATTTAGTGTGCCACTCAATGCCAACAATTTGTCATTTAACAATCCAATACATAGAATATGCCGTGACTTTAATGAACTTCATAAAAATAATGATAATTTGGACATCTACAGTTCTCCTTTAAAAGTTTTTAGGAATGTAATATGAAAATTAAAAATGGGATAAATATTGTATTTTATTGTTTAATTTATATTTTTTTTTGTATTATCTTTTTGGAGTTACTATTATTAATTATTGATCAGAGGTTTTTTTTATATATTCACTTAATTATGAAAGCTAATAACTTTTATTAATTAATTTTTTAATTATGCATGAATTTTGAACCCACTCTAAATTATGTTTGCCTTGATTTTGCCTCATGATGTTGTGTACACATGTCATTGGAAGTGCAACTTGACATGCTGCATTGTTATATGATGACTTATTTATTGATGTAATTGTACTTCTGTTTGAGTACCGAATAAATTTAAAAAAAAGAGGTGATGAATTTGTTGATGATTGGTTGCAATATTAAATTAGTACATGTTGTCATCATTGGCTTCTGTGTACTGTTAAAATTAGTTTGAATTTGATTTATTTTGTACTTTTTTTAAAACATATTGCATAAGTCTTTAAGAGTGTTCCACAGATTAATAATTCAATACATTTCAACAGCATTGACCTTGGTGGATGTCTAGACCAGGGTTGGAACAATTAAAACAAGTTGTTTTAAACACGTTTAAAACAGTTTGCATAAAAAACATGTTTTTTATCAAGTGTTTTAAAAAACTGATTAAAACAAGTTTTAAACAATGCATGTATGTAATAGAATAAATAAACAATCTCTAAAATTCCTTCTCATTGCGAATTGGAACAAATATTTAAGACTTTAAACAACTTGACATACAACTCAACTGGTCTACTCTATTGCCATGTTATATTTTTGTACTCTTTTTGGCAGTTTAATTAAATAAAACACTCGTATTATTTTTATGACATTTATATAATGAAACAAAAATAAAAGTGCCTACCATAATAATTAACATAGTATTAAAAATACACACAAACAAAGTATTTTTTTCTGATAACTATTTTATTTAGAAGACAACAAATACAATCAAAATTGTATGTCAAATAATGTGATGAATGTTAGGAACATGACTTAAATTGAATAAGATAAAATGATAAATGAACAAATCAAGTATGTATGTGAATGTAACTTATAACAAGAAAACAATAACTTTTTCTTATTTGAGTATTTAAAAACTGTGACTAGTTTTTTTTTTAAATTTGTGTATAGGGTATTCCCCATTTTATAATTTTTAAATCCATAACATGACTCGACATGAGCATTGCCCTATTAAGAAGGCAACCAATGCGTTAAAAATAAACATTTGTTTATTAGTTAAAACATACAGCACAAATGTAAAATGTTAGATTTCAATAGTATAACATAAAATAAATATCCATTGATCAATTTATTGACTCTAGAAATGAAATATATAAGGTTCACTGTCTTGATTTGATATTAATGGCCTAAATTAAAATAAAACATAACAAACACTTGTTTAAAAAAAATTTGAACTGTTTGATTTATAAAATAAAAAAAAACTGTTTTTTCCAACCTGGTCTAGACCATATTCAAACATTGAATAGACATTCAAACTAATAAGAGAAATATCAATGCTGTTATAGCATATTGCCAGAATGCACAAGTCATTGGACAAGTTTTGGAATGTAGACCAAGAGTGGATGGCTTTCTTGAAGACTACATTAAGTTTAAGATTTTTTTCTTAAAGACTAACCTTAAATTCAAGAAATAAGTTGTATTCAAAGTTACAAAAAAAAAAAATATTGTATTTACCACTGTGATGATAGACATCTATCTTTGCATTAACAAAATGTAACAACAATTTGTTATGATGACTTTATATCTATATAGTCAACAAATAGTTAAGTCTTAAGTTTACTCTTTTATAACCTATATAAGTTGATTTCATATAAGTTGATTAGTTTCATCAATAATTTAACTACTACATACCTTTGGTGATACGTTGATGTAACTCTTGAAATTCTGTACCAGTTTTTTCTTTTCATTCATTGTAATCAGAGGTGTTTTATATATCAAAGCGTCGAAATTATATCTTTTCTTAAAAAACCACCATAGAGGATCTTAACAAAATTTACAGAAAGTGAAATGGAGGACCAAAACTAATTGAATTATAAAAAATCCACATAATTTGTCTAAGGTACACGTAAATTTGATAACAATCATCCCACCAACCAGCAAAACATTGTGCAGTTAAATTACTATTAGATGATGTGTCTTATTGTTGTCAACATGTTTCAAATACAAACTGTAAGATGCATATTTTATCCTATTTATTTACACCACTAATTCTTTGGTTTATGGGAAAATAAACTTATTTTCTATTTAACATGACCCAACTCTGCAACCAAAAATGTCAACTGATTATTATTTTTGTTCTTTAATAAGGGCAAAGTGTCTAGTCTTTACAGCCTCTTTTTAGGTATGATTATTTTGCTCAAACGTTGTTGATTCTGTGAAAGTGCTGTCATGTGCTCTTTGAATATTATTGTGTTCTGTAACCACAGAACAATATGCTCCTGTAACTGATACTATAGTCTGTGGGTTGACGTATTCTTTTTGGAAAAAAGTTGAATTGTGATGCATGTCTCAAAAAAATGGCGATTGTTAAATTTTTGTTCAGGTTTTGAAAGCACAATCTCTAGGCACATATTTATAACATTAAATATTTGTTATTGTGTAGCTGTGAATAAAACCTAGAATGGCCGATGCTTTGGTAGAGCGGAGGCCGACCGTTCGGTTCTTCTGCCACAGGTGTAACATTGAATTTGAAGATGTTTTGCAGGTAAAAATCAATATGTACGGTTAATTCTAGTTATTTCAGTATTAATTATTGTCAAGAACTACTCTAAGACATTAGCTAACGTGAAAGTGAAAAGCTTTCTAATATGAATTAAAAGTATGGTTGAAGTATTGATTATAGTATGATTGTCTTCTCCATAATTACGACTAATTATTTACAATAAAACAGCCGGTTTTTTTATATTTTTCCTAAAAGTTACGCCGATAAGGTTATCATTGATTGTTTCAAGGACATTACATTTATATTTGTCGATTGTCTTGAGTTGTTAAATGAACATTTTCATTGCGTTTGGATGGCGTGACCACTATTCTTGATTGAAGACCTTTGTTATGTCCTGGCATTGTTATAAATAGTATGGATGGAAACAAACTAATTTGAACTGTCTTGGAATCCATGAAAAAGGTGTATAATGTTGTGCTTAGTGTAGAATCTGATATTCTTTCTTTTAAGCTAAAATATATTTTTTTTGCACTTTCAGGATTATACATGCCCTTACTGTGCAAGTGGCTTCATTGAGCAACTGGAAAATGAGGCAGAAGGCCTGGGCCTCTCTGGAGATGACCTTAGTGATGCCGACATGAGTAATTTAGATGATATGAGTAACTTGGATGATATGAGCAACCTTGATGATTCAGATGATGTGCATCAAGTAAGGATAATAATGGCTGCATACTGTCTAGTATATGTTTTATAAAATTTTAGCTTTACCAATTAAATTTTTATCTGTTTATATTATAACCATACTATATTTCTTGGGTAGGCAGATATCCATGTAAATAGTTGACAAATATTTGGTTTGAGGGGGTCTTAAAGGATGTTCTTAATTTGATCAGTAAGTATGTAAAAGATATAACATTCATGGTAGTCTTCCCAAAGAAAATCACTTAGATGATTTTCTTTATAGTCAATTTGAGTATCCATACCTAACCTTCATGTCAGTTATAGGTCAGTTAAAAAAATGTTACTTTGTAAATATTTTTAGCTGCATAGTAGCTACACATTGATATTCACAATGTAGTGTTACAGATTTGAATATGAAAATTGGCTTATCATGGAAAGCTGTAACTGTGAAAAAATATGAATTTTCATTTAACATGTTCTAAGTCAGCATTTCTTATGAAATTCATGCTAGTACAAGTCTCATTTAATTCAGAAGTTTTTAAGATATTGGTTATTAGTTTTTAACTTGACTTATATACAAATATAAAAACCACTAAAATTCATTCAATCAAAATGAAAATAATACCTCTTTCGTTAAGCTTTTGTGAAGTCAATTTTATTTAAAATACATAATGGAACAAAATTGGTCAAGCTAGAACCTATGTTATACAAGTGTTTATTAATTTATGCTTGGATGTGTATAGCTTCCATTTTATATTACAATTTTCTATCCACATCTTGGACTTAGCTATTTGATTAAATTCTTATTAGATTACAAAGAAGTGATATAATATATTTTGGTTTGACTTTAATGAGACTCATTATAATATTATTTCATCATATTATGCAATACTATTATGAATATGAAAAGCTTGAAATAGTATTAGGTTTCTTAGGTCAAGTTGCATAAACATCCATTAAGATTTAATGACACCTTAAAGCTCTAATTAATATCAAATTTGTATCAGTAATGTTGCTTTAAACTAATGATAACTTTAATGGATGTTTGTGCAACTGGCTGAATGATCATTTGGTAAAATTAAAGTCTTATCTTTCTTATCTGTAACTTATTATAATGTTTATTTGACCTAAAACAACATTCTATACATAAGTGCTTTTATATATCAGGTACAATTTATTCTTACCTTTTATAAATTAACCTATGAAACAATTTTTGATATAACTTCTGAAAGTAATTTGATTTGAATTTGATAATAAGCATAAACTACAAACTATTAAATAATGTGGAACTCAAATAAGGTCCATTTACTGTGTGAATTATCATATTATTATCAGCAGTCTTGTGCACATAAATGCATAATAATATTTCAGTTTGTATATTTCCTTATCAGAAGAAGTTTGTATCAAGTATGTATTTTTTTTTGCATTGAACTTGATAATGTATCCAGCAGCACCTATAACTTAAATGATCCTTTATTATCCTTTCAAGTAGGTTAACTTTGTTTAAACATCTATGACCTGATAGAGCTGCTGTTGTTGTTAAGCTTGAGGCAATTATTATTACGGAACCGCACTACAGTATATGCCTAACTATATTAATATGTCAAGCAAACGGTCTCTTTTTGGTATGTAATTAGGAGAAATAAGGAATAGGATATTTGGCACAGTTAAAGTTTATATAATTGATGAACACCCTTGGAAGCTGATATTTACATAAGCCATAGCACCATAAACTTTGAGCTTTTTAAATACATAATGATGCATTAAGGCATATCTTGATGCAGCCAATGACTAGTTATCAAAATAAAAAAATGGTTTACTTTCATCAATAATAGACTTATTGATGAAAGTGATCCATTACTTTATTTTAGGGCACTTCTATAAGTTGAAATAATAATAAATGTATTTGGTTTCTTATATTTTAGCATGCACTTTTATGATTGATTTTGATGAATAGTAATCTGTATTAACAGACAAAATAGCAAATATTTAACATTATGATATTTTTTTGATATTCAATAATTAAGCTAAGGTCTCAAAAAATTAAAGTTTAAATGACTAAGCTCATATTGAAATGGTAATGGAGAATAATCTTTATTTAGTCTTCATATAAACTAAACTAATATATGATAACATTTTCTATTTCTAGAGTACACCACCAATGTTGAATGACTTGGCTTTTTTAATGTCTGTGGGGAGGGTCAGGTAAGAAAAAATATTAATTTTATTATATAATATTTAAATAACAATGTTACATTTAATCTTACTTATAAATAAAACTCGTAGCCGAGTGGCTCGCACGCCATCGCTAAGGTGTTGCCATCTCTGGTGGTCCAGGGTTCGATTCCCGTTTAGCTTAACATAGAAAATAAACTTTTCTATGTTGTCTAGGCTTTAGGAGTGCTACATTAGTTGTTTCGTATTTTCATAATACAATTGATAAAGTTTCCTTAAATTGGGATCTGAGCAATGTATGTGATGTCTTATATTTATTAATAGATGTAAATAAAGTGTGTAAATGATTACGAAAAAAAAGTGTTCAATATTTTTCAACAATCTACGGACTAATAAACAAAAATTAGTCGTCATCGATATTATTTATACCATACATATATTTTTACTTATTTGCCTTGATGGTTTCACCAAGAGGTGCGTCGGCGGGTCGACGGGAAACATTCATGGAGCAATTAGTGGGGATGATAGGAGGCGGCCGGCCAGTTATAGGCGCTGTGACAGCGGGCGCGCCTTTCGTACTTGTCGGTGCGCCAGGGGACTATGTCTTCGGTGGTGAAGGTACAGACTGTTTGTTATATATATTTCTAGCTCAATAATGTGCAAAATGTAATCTAGATAAACAAGTAAGGTCAAACTTAGTATTGATTTGCATAAATTATACAGAACGAAAGCCTTGTTATTGTTATGACCAGAGGTCGGAATTAGGTAGAGTTATTTATGTACTTGCATCGAAATGTTGATATTAATGTGGACCTTCGTGGTAACATCGCGCGTATTGGTATTTTGCAACTTTGGACATCCGATGTCATTGATATAAGTTTGGCAATGTCGTTCGTGCAGTAGTTTAAATTGTGTAAAAGTAAATAACTTTTTATTTAAAAAATCACGGGATTTTTTTCTGCTCTTTAAAATTAATCTCGGGATCTGAGGCCACCACCACCACCAGCCCTTTTACGTCCCCACTGCAGGGGCTCAGGCCTTCCTTATGGATGGTTAAGGAGGATGGGCCATGACCCTCCACGCTGGCCCAATGTGGATTGGAGGGTATTAACGACTGCAAATGCAGCCGGGACCAACGGCTTAACGTGCCTTCCGAAGCACGGAGTAGCTCGAGATAATAATTTTTTGGTCACCCATCCCATGACCGACCTTTGCGAAAGTTGCTTAACGACTATGATCGCGGGCCGCGGCGCTTATCCACTACGCCACCGAGTTACGGATTTGAGGCATATCCACTTTATTCTTTCGCTGTATGAAATCAGTGTAAGTACATGAATAACTCTACCTAATTCCGACCACTGGTTATGACTTGAAAATGTCAAGCCTTATTTTAAGCAAAGTTTTTGACTTTAGTCTCCGACTAGGTGTAAGTTTACTTGTTACCCTAATTTTAAGAACGTATTGAAGAAAAATAAATGTTGTTGACATTTTCACCTCCAAAAAAACAAACATTTTGCATAATTTTTCAAAACTTGGTTGTAGTAGTTATAAATTAGTTTATGTATTGTATGTATATATCTATTTTCTTTAGTATCAAGTATGCAAGAGAAATACGAAATTTTGGCTTGGTTTTAATTTTTAATTGATATTTTTATTAAACCCAGCAATTCATTAATATAAGTTTTCTGGCTAACTACTAACTAATATAAGGTTGCTGAAAATCAATTTTTAAAAATTAATAAAATGTAGTAAGGACATACAAAATGTGCAACGCTAAGAGAAAGTCCTTTAAAAAATTGAAATATTGCTGCCCTTATTGTCAGTTAGTTTTTGACTGCTTTCACATATAGACGAATAAGCAAAGACTACAACGTGACAAAGAATAAGAGAAGCGTTATTCGCGTGTGGTTAGTACGCCTACTCATGAAAGCGCAATTAATCTTCAAGTTTCACTGGGCTAGTTGACGTGCTAACAAGTGAGTGTGGACTGTGTGGGTTAGGTTTGGATGCGGTGGTGACGCAGCTCCTGGGCCAGCTGGAGAACTCTGGTCCGCCGCCGTTGCCGCGCGATCAGATCGCCGCCCTCCCTAGCGAGACCATCACCGACACCCACGACTCCGCACAGGCCGCCTGCTCTGTCTGCTGGGAGGACTTTCAGCTCGGTTAGTGCAGACTTTGTGTTATACTAAAACACAACTAAGGCGTCATCCAATTATAATCGGATTTTTTCACGTTGATTCGCTGCTGTGAGAAAACAAAGAATCCGCTGACCCCGTCTACTCTACTTTCTTTGTACTTAAATATTTTTTGCTGGTTACATTTTTCCAAAATTTCTCTGTGACTTAATTTTAAACTATAATCTAATTTCTAATTGAATGAAAGATTTCCAAATATATATAACGTACTGGGTAAAAAAAAAGAAATTCTATTAGTCCTTCAGTCAGATAATAGAAAAATATTAGATACGTATTTTTCTTTAACAAGTAATAGCTTAGATAACACGCATTAAACTTGAGGAATTGGGGCAGTTTTTTTAGAAAATGTACCAAGGTGACATCATGTCACATTTTAATCAATCTATCGCCGTAATTTAATGATTAAGAAAAAAAGGTGTTTTATATATTTTAAAAATGTACCTGACAGACAAACAGACAAAAATTAGTCTCGGCCAAGCTATCTCAAGCCTATGGTGTGGTTTTTTATGTAGCGGTCAGCAATTAATGTTTCAAGTTGTGAAGCACAACCCCATGGGGTACCGCTAGGACCGCACTTGGGACACTTGGGATCATATATGTACGCCGACGATTCAAAGCTGGCAAACGTAATTGAATCCTGGAGTTCTTGTGCTCCAACAAGAGGCATTTAATAAGTAACGGTTTGACGTATGTGCAGGCGAAACGGTGTCACGGCTGGAGTGCGAGCACGTGTTCCACGCGGCGTGTATAGCTCCGTGGCTGCAGTTGCACGCTACCTGCCCCGTGTGCCGCCGCTCCCTACTGCCGGCCACCCCGCCCCCTCCGCTGCCCCCGCCCCCGCCCGCCACGCAGTCCACCACGCAGTCCGCTACGCAGCCCGCCGCCAACACAGGTATGTACAACTATAGGATTTGAAGTTTTTAGATATGTGGTAACAAAAAAAGGCAATAAATATTTATATACAAAAAGTCGATATTATTCAGTTTATTTCTAATAGAGGTAATCGAAAACAGGATTTAAGAAAAATATTTATTTAACAACAATTTGAACCAGAGTGCAAAAAAAAAATCTAATTTTATTATCATCGCGTTTAATTGTTACAACCACAATAATTAAATATTGCTCAAATGTGTACCAAATACATATTTTGATTTCTTTTAAAAAAAATTACCATTTTTGGCTAGTCATTTAATTGAATGGCACCATTTAATGCTTAGTTTTATATATGACATTTAATATGTCATTTGGACAGTTCAACAAGACCGCTGATTTAAAACCGTTGTACCGTGTAAAGGTGTAGTGGTGTACCCAAGTTTCATCCATTGTTACAAATCTGGATAAAAAATCTTGTGGATCAGCCTCAAACATTTCCAAAGTGTCGCGAGAAATCGTGAGGCGTATTCGTTTTTGTTCGACTGAAAGCAATCTGGGTACCCACCGCGCAGAAACCTTAGAAAATCGAACTTCATTGACTATGTTTTGTGTTCGTTCATATATATATGCCAATAGTGTCTGCAATCACCCTGATGGTCAATCTCCGATCTGTCAGTATCAAATCACAGAATTTCCCGATGTTTTCTTCAGTCGTAGACGTCCTAGGCCGGCCAGAGCGACGGTCATCTTCAATACTCTCTTGTCCGCATTTCAATTCAGCAACCCCCTTTTTCACAGTCGTATACGACGGAGCAGATTCCCCCAATGTTGTTGACATATCTTCGTGAATCTCTTTTCGAGTTAGTTTTTTTTTAAACAGGTATTTGATGACCAGACGTTGCTCAATTTTCTCCAATCTTTAAAAATGTTGCACAAAGGTTCACAAAAATCAGTCTAATTTAAATACAGTTAATGCTATTGCGATAGAATTTTACAATTTGGCAACCAGAGAGAAAAGTAATTGAATGAGGTCAGTTACATTAAAATAGTTTAAGCATTTATGTTTTAGGCCGCGAACTTTTCAATCCACCCTCGTAACTTCACTATCATCTTAAATTTCGAGGTTATTTTATCATAACTAAATTAACTTTATGGCGCCTTTTGAATCAGCCGTCTTGTTGATCGGTCCAAATGTCATAATTATTCAACTAGAAAACTAGGCGTGTGAATGGCGCCATTGGGCGAAATGGCCAGCCCCCCATTTGAACGGCTGATTTACCCAGTTAGCTGCGACATATACACAATCAAACTATTTTTTTTATAACAATAATTTTTAATTATTTGAAAATACATGCTACTGGAAGAGCATGTTTATTTGGTACTACATAGTATGCTCATTTGTAGTATGCTCTCTGTGTTCCTGAAATCACAGACTTAAGTGTATACATACTTACATCTGAGATACTAATCTAAACTAAACTATCCAAAATGAATGCTATTTTATTCTACACTTTTTTAAGTTATGTGTTAAACTAAACTATTTCGTTTTATATGTGAAACACGACAGTCCCATTGCATTCAGTTTAATATACTAATTTTTTCCCGGTTAGCACAAGCACCAGCGACGGGAACGGGAACGGGAACGGGCGTGCAGTCGGGCTCTTCGGGCGAATCGTCCGCATCGTCAGCGACCACCGGTGATTGGGCGTCCTCCTCCTCCACATCGCTGAGCTCCGACCGCGACCGATACAACATGGACATCGATTACGACTAGGACTACGATTCCGCTCCCTGCTACGTCGACTATGACGTAGCGAGTACGGACGCCGCTAGAACTCTACGGTGCGGTGTCCGATAATGTTCAGTGAGATAACTGTGCGCTCAACGAGCTCGACAGCTTATATGTTCTGTATAGAAAAAAAAATATATATATACTTAAATTTAAATTTGAGCTAACGCAGAATTGTATGTTTTGGATCGTATCGGAGCTCTGTTATGTATAGGAAATTGCTGAATATTCTAGTGTTTTTATGACAGATAGTGTTATCAGACGCCACTAAAATGTTCAGCGACGACGAAGGCAGATCGTTGAGTTGGAAGACTGTCTCGGATATGAGAATCCGCTTGTAAATATACGGAGGCCCTGGTCGGCGTGTGAAGTTAATATAATATGTATAATAGTGCCTGGTAGACCGCAAACGTCGGACGACGATTGCGCCTCACGTTTTCGTCTTGATATACGATTAAATTTCATTTGTGTAAATTTTGTAAATATCAATGTTACTTTTAGGCATCCGTTGCTGATGTAACTAATACCGAATGGTGAATATGCGTTAACGTAACGTTTTATTGGGAAAATTGTATTGTAAAATTGATGGCATAAAAGTAATTTCGTTTTGTTAGTTTTAATACAATAAAAAAAGCTTACTGACATCGGAACTGATCTTTGTTGCAATGCAGCATAATAGAGACTAATAAAAAAAAAACAAAATTCGGTATCGTTCGGTATTTCAGTCTATGCTATTAACAGGCACTGTGAAAGTCCTGTTTGTTAGTTTGTACAAACACAAAAACTTGAAAGGAACACAGAAAGCACTGTTACTCTCTTATTTATACAGTATAGTATATATTGTTTTCACGCGACTTCGCCCACGTCACCCGCATTTGTATAAATAAATAAAAACAATCAAATCTTTCCTCTTTATAATATTAATATAGATTACAAAAGGTATTTACATTTTATTTGTATCATTATAATTCTGATACATTCTATGTTCTACAATTATTTTCACGTTATTTTTAAATAACTCATATCAGATACAATAGGTACTGTAATTTTTTAAGAGTACATATGAAGCGGAATAATTTTATATCAATACTAGGTCATGATTTCCAGTGGTTACAAATTTGAGATATAAAATAAAATAATATTACCAAGTAATTGTATAGTGTTCTTATGTTAAAATATAATACAATCTGCTGTTGTCCAGTTTATTCATTACAAACGAAATCATAAATGTTTTCATAATATTTTTCTTCTAGTTGATAAAAAATATTTTCATGTTTTTTCAGTTTCTTTACCGAACGACTCTACTGTGAAATTATAAACTAATGGATATGAAATTAATTTTATGTTATTAATTAACCCTTGTTTAGACACGCAGGGTTCGCCCGATATTTATCGTGCGTGCTGGTTACGTCTGTATACTATAACGAAAATAGGTTGGATTTTTGAAATGAAAAAAATATGGGCAGGCTCAACCGTTTTAGTTGCTAGACTATCTATAAATTATTGACACATTCTAAACTACATTCACAGATGTATAAAAAAATATATATATATAAATATTTTTTTCTAGTACACATATCTTAAATGGTCCCAAGGAATGTTTTGATCCCCACATGAAATAGGAATCAAAAGGCCTATTTCATGTGGGGATCAAAACATTCCTTGGGACTATTTAAGATATGTGTACTAGAAATTTCCGAAATCGCAAAAATCTTTTCCCATACATTTTATACAGAAAAACAATAAATCAATTTGAAATATTCTTTATTGCCCGACGATTTCTTACTGTGATCAAGAATGCAGTTTGTGTTTAAAAAATTTATAAAAAAATTAAATGATAGAGAGACATTTATAAAATCCATTGTCTATAAATAATATTTCGAATTGATGATTTATCGTTTTTCCATACAAAGTATTTTGGAAAGTTTTTTTTGTGATTAATGAGTACTAAAATACTTATTAAATGGTCTCACAGTCTCTGAATTCACACATAGGTGTTTTTGGTATTAAACATTTTTTTGGAAACAACCTTTTTTCCAAAAACTGAATCTTCGAAAAATGCTTAATAATCCACTTGATCCCTGGGATAGGATTTTTAAAACATTTTTCAATAAGAATAATTTTTCAGTATAGCATTGTGAATGTGAAATTGATCAAATATAATAACTGAATGTAATTTAGAATATCTTAAAAAGTTATGTATTATCCCTAGGAATTTTTTCGTGTAACTATACCGGTTAAGATATCTGTCTTGTTCCAAAATTGCCGTACTGTAGTAACAAAACAGTTTGCAGACGAAGAATTATAGCTAGAGGAGCGTTGCATTAGTAAGGCCCGACCTTTGCTACTACAAACAAAACAACCAGAGATCGTATGTGAAACTGCTCAGTTGGCAACAAATTTTTACGGTGAAATACTCTTGGTCGATAGAATTTATATAAATAACTCTATTCTGAAACCGCGCAATTTCCTTTGTGTTTGACTGCAGGTTTACTTATATAAACTTCGTTAAGAGTTGATCGATGTTCTTTGTACTTCGACTGTTTTAAAAGATGGCGAAGTATTATGAAACTTTCATGACTATTATTTAAATTGTTTAACTAGTTTTAGACGTGGACTCTGACAGAAACGCATTTGTTATGGCTAATTATTCAAGGAATGTAATAATTGATTGTGCAGGTATACTTGTTTCATATGTACTACAAACTTACACATTATTTTTATAAATTAGATAAGGTTTTATTAATTTAAAATGAAATCAGATTTTACAGTGTGCATTATAAAGTGTCTGCTTATATTATAATCTTAAAATGAGGAGTTTGATAAACTTATTTATGATTAATAAATTTTGTTTCAAACTAAGTTAATAAAATTGTGACATTTCATTTTCGCTTTCTTTTTAAATATAGTGATTAAAATTACAATTAAGCTTTTGAAATAATAAATTAATATTATATTGACATCCAGAAGCAAAAACATTTAAATCGATTTGAGGCGAGTTTAGTGATATAATAAAGAGATGAGGGTTTATTTGTCCTAATTTTACATAATGTAAAATCGTTTTAGACAATATACTATTATTTGCGCTTTCAGTAGTAGTTCTGAAATCTCAAGTTAAGATGTTTTTCCTTGAAAGTATGGATGAAGTGTTTTATAGTTATTATTTATCGCTATAATAAATACACGATTTAACTCTAAAAAAAGCTAAAAGAGCTCTTATATTGTAATGATAAGAGTATATTTTGAAGGTTAAACATTTTTTTTTAGAGAAGAGCCTAAAATTTGTATGCGTTTAATAAAATAGTTTGAAACATATTATTGGTATGTATCTAATCCTAAAAGGTATATATGTAAAAATCACCGGTAATATGTATAATTCATGTATTCTATAGAATACCTACGCATTGTATAAAATATAATACATTGTATAGAGTAGAAAAATACCATTTTATACAACAGCTAAGCGTTTTAGTTATTATATGTATTACCTAGAAACGGTATAGATAATATACCGGATTAAAAAGATTGTCAGAAAAATATACAGGTTTGATTTTTTAAGGGGACAGTCAGGGTAGTTACATTAACCGCTATAGTTAATGAATATGTTATATTTGTTATTATATTTTATTAGATAATCCGAAATGTATTTTTAATAAAATACAATGTATGGAATATAACATACAAAATGTATGGAAAAGTTTCTGATAATTTCTGTCATTTCTAGTAGGTACGCATATCCTAAACGGTTCCATACAGTCTATTGAAAAAGGATTGATGGGTTACACATTTTTTTGTTTTTTTCAAGAATCTGTCATTGCAGTTCAGAATATCTAAAAAACTGTGGATAGTCTGGTAATGTTTTTATGTAACTTTCGGTTAAAGTACTCGCCCTTGCTGTTCCGTCTCAAGAATTCATGTTCACCTGTATAATCCAGTGCAGAAATTGAAGCAAATTGTAGTTTACGAACACTGAAATTATTTATTTTGTATTAGTACAAAAAGTTGGCTATTGTTATTGTAAAATAATGACAAATAGCCATGGCAGATCCATTGCCGTTTAATTTATTTTTTGTGTGGGTATATAGAAATAAAGTTTGTCATTACTTACAAGCTTGATGTTTGAATTTGTCACAAATTGGTTTGTTTGTTTGAAATTCAAATAAAAATGAATAGTTTTTTTATATAAACACACAAAATAAATGTAAGTTTCATGAAAACTTCATACAGCTTCCATTGTATAAAGCGTGTCTAAAAAGAAACAAATATATTACTTAAAAAGTAAACATTCGTTCTGTTTTTGTTAATACAAAACTTCATACGAAATAATTTGTAAAACAAAAGGCTTATAACAAATCGGGAATCTTCATTTGGGTTTGTATGTCAACATCTAGCAAAACTCTTCTAACGTAATAAATGAATGGCACCTTAACGATTTGTATTTCGCCTCAACACTGTTTTATCAATAAACCAGCTTTTGTCCGCGACTTCGTCCGCGTTGTAAAGTTACTTTGAGCAGCATTTCTAGTGAATATTTATTTATTCATGATATCGTGTAAAATACCTGAAATAAAGTTTCATACTTTTAATAAAAATCCTATAGAAATTATCAAAATCCTTTCTTAAGTGATAGTGGTTACGTCATAGTGGTTTTATGCATGCGAAGTCTCAGCCCGATCAGTTTAAAATTGATGAAAGTTTCATACAAACTTTCATCCCCTATTTTATTCCCTTGAGGGTAGAATTGGACAAAATCCTTTCTTAATAGATGCCTACGTCATAATATCTACCTGCATGCCAAATTTAAGCTCGATTCGTACAGTGGTTTGGGCTGTGCGTTGATAGATCACTTTTGAGTTATATATTTTAGATATAAAATAAAACACAACAGAACCAAAAGCGCAACAACTTACATAAAATTTGCATAAACGTTTTATTTATGTATAATTAACAATAGTTGGCGGTCCTAGTATATGTTTTTCATAATTTAATTTAGTAGGTAGAAATCTTAAGATGCACATGCAGCTACACACGCTAGGACACATGTCACTGCAATGTATTCAGCGTACTCGACGTACTCGTAGGTTTAAAATCGTGGGGCAATTTGATAGCTTTGTATAACCTGACGTGCTATTGATATAAGTTTAATTTTAATCACGTTGTTATGAGAATTATATATTGGAGCAATAGATGAAAATTTTTAAAATTTAGGTAGTTATTATTAGTGTAGTAGAAATTACCTAGTGGATGTTTTTTACAAAAATTTTCCTTTAAAATTGTATATATAATGAATGCTTATATATATTTATGGAACCATTAATTAAAATCAAAACAATGAAGTTATTAATCATTAATGCAATGAATCTACTTATACGTACTAAATAATGTGAAGAATAATATATGTTTTTAGGTATTAGTCCCGTAAATTGCTAATGCGCTGAAATCTTGTATAAATAACACCTGCAAATCTTGTATAAATATGAAAATAGAGTACAAAAGGCAAGAGAGAAATTATTGTAATATTTATGAATAATCTTCATAATATAATTTAAAAACTTTTAATTTGATTATATTTGATCAATTTTGTACTCATTATACTATATTGAAAAATATTCATAATGAAAAATGCTTTAAAAATCCACATTATCGCTGGTACTCTTGACACGGGACCCAAACCCATTACCTAG